CAAAGACAAAACACACACTATCAATGGACCATCATCACCTTCACCCTCAGTGACGAGTGTTAACTGATACATTTTTCTATCATTTTTTCGATTTAAAAACAGTGAAACACTCTGTTTAAGTCAAATCTTCATGTGACGAGAAAGATGTATGGATAAGGCCGGAGTTTGAGACATGCACAGGCAGGCAGTCGCTGCAGATAACAGAGACTGTAACTTTCACTAGCAGGCTCTGGACCAGCCAGCATTAAAGCTCTCCGGATCCCTGCTGAGCCAATTCATGTGTGCCACAAGAAAAGCTCACAAGTCACTTCTGAATCCTCCGCCACCAACTAGAAACTAATCCAAACCTCTGGCTAAATCTCAAAACACTGAGAAATACTCGCAATTCTACTGCAGTGATCCACCTCTGGGTGAGAGCTGAGCTCCGTATCAGCAGAGGACAGAGTGTGCGTCAGTCAGTCTGGCACGACTGTGTTTACCACACGTGTGTGTGATTTGTTCTTGCACAGTCCTTCTTCCTCTATTCTTTATGAAAATAAACACAGTTGATAATGTTTTAAAATTCCCATAAAACTGCTGGCAGAGTACCATTATGTTTAGCAAATATAGGACAGGACAAACACAGATATCGATTAGCTTTTACAGCAACCAACAGCGCATATTTCAGATTGACACTATTACTAACTCAACATGGAGGTCAGCCTGCCCTCTGTTGCCAAGAGCTGTTTGCAACCACTGTCGTCTACAGCAGCATTTATTAACGGCAAATTGGACAGAGATGAAAAGGAGGAAGAAAAGGACCCTGACATGGCCGTCTTTGTAGGAAGGCTGTGTTCGTACAAGCCGAGATTCGAAACTGCAGTGCTGCAGAAAATGACACTCAGGTTTATTACCACAGTGGAGCTGATGTGTCTTATTGGTAGGCTTGTGTCTATATGATGAGACTGTGATATACTGTAGGTTGAACCAGATACGTGCCACACACCTTAGGAGAAAAAACAAAAAATGTGTGCTGCTTAGACTACCACTGATAAATCCAATTACCGTCTGTTTACTAATCTACTCAAACAGTTGATACATTTCTAATAAAGTCTGTGCTTGTTGTTTTTTCCTGTGGTTTGGTGCCACCCTCCACTATCTGACATTTAGCTCCTCTCACACGCCGCTGATTAGCAGGAAAGTGGACTCAACAGTGGGACGTTGCTCTTAAGAACTGGCAGGAAAAGCCCTCTGAGGTTTGTCCAACACGGCAGACTTTATGGGACGTCCTGGTGAGCGTGCAGGCTCATGTTTGTAACATTATCCTCATGTGTACAACAATGCACTTACAAATACAGACACAAGTTTGTTTGTATGAGTCCCGCTGTAGGGTGTCTTCCAAAGTTTCCTGTAAAACTACTGACGAAAAAAGGAATGGGGGAAACTCCACTTTCTATACATCAACTATGTGGGAAAACATACATATATATAATATAAATACTGTAGACAATTAAGTATGATAATTTACATGAGTTATACATCCTCCATATGTCTTAATTTAACATAGATTACAATATGAATGATTGAACATATTGAATGTTCCTTCATTTCAGAACCATCATAATGAGGTTGCACATTGTGAATGGGGTGAACTTCAAAAAACTCTCAGCTCTTAAAAAAGTGAAGTAGTTAAGTAAAAGTATTCTTATTTCATTGTTGAAGTTAAGGTCAGTTAGCACTCATCATAAGTATCACTGAGTACACTTATAAAAGAAGACAACATTTCCCACAGAAAAATATTTTCTGATCAAATATGACAATTTTTGAACAAAGGTTTCCTTCAGACCTCTGAAGTCACATGGTGGGATATCAGTCTTTTTATTTAATTGTATCACTAGACCAAGAAAAAAAGCCACAAGGAATTTGTCAGGAATGGCCCCTTTCATTTCTGCACAGGACGCCAGTATAGCTTACAGGCAGTGATACTGTGTTCAAACAGTGTCTTTAAATGGCACACAGACTCTTACCAGAGGGACATTATTTTAAATTGGCTACTTTCGAACTGATAATAGTGAGAAATGCTGTTTGGTGGGCGCTTTGATCTTTACAGTCACAGTATCTTGGATGTATAACACAGTTGGAGAAACCGGTTGAACTACATATTCTGGTCGAGACACCGTCCTTCAGACTATACAGAAGTGTGCATTTCAACTAGCTGCCTCGACCGTATGCTGGCAGGCAGTGCTGCTGGATGCAAACACAGATTACACATGTAGCTTTGAGAAGCGAGGAGTTAAATGAATCCATCAAAAAAGTTGCCATCATCTCAAGTCTGACAGATGAATGAATGTAAGAACTTGTGAATCACACTTTGAACGTATATGTCTATTTATTATAATCATAAAATGTATATGAACTCACACAATATGATTAAACAATTGTATTACAGGGCTCTGTTGGGTGGAAATGTTTACACAGTTGTGCCATGGGAATTTCAAAATAAAGTTGTATGGTAAAGGTGATTTAAAGTATCTCCTAATTTCACTTACTGGATTATGGAGTGTTTTTGTAATGGTTTTATTTCATAGGCTGCCAGCTCAGATTACTTAGTCTATCCATGTAAAGCTTTTGTTTGAATCTTGAGGGATTTTTAAAAAATGCACTAACTTACTGCTACAAAGTTTGTTTCATGAAAGCAGTCCGTGAGAAATAATTAAATGTTTCAATTTTCAAAAAGGAAAGGAACAAGATGTGTTTGCTAACAACACTCAACCTTTGCAACTCCACCTTTGTTTAACCAGAATACGTGTCCCTGTGTAAAGACAGCAGCCGGGAGCAGCCCTTCATCCCGGATCCAGATTAATGCTGCCTCCAATCCAACTCCAGAGAAAGTTCTCATCATGGAGAGTCACTTTGACAGCCTTAACCACCACAAATACACACACGGTAACACACACACACACTCACACAGTTATCAGCCTAATGGAAAAGTAAAAGGGCTGCTCTGGTTGACTGGAGCAAAGCAAACACTGAGAGACAGATAGACCAAGACAAGAGACAGGTGGAATACACACGGGGCGTTCACAGTCACACACAAACACACACACCTCCACATCACAGGGTACGCAGAGCACTTCATACACTCCCCAGCAGGATGTACAGGCAGACAGACACACAGTAAGTAAGCTGGATGTTGCCCCAATGCAAAAAAAGGACTGTACTTAGTCTCTTGTTCTCACACAAACACAAGTAGAGCTGCAAATATTAATTGATTAGTTGTCAACTTCTGAAATAATCGGCAACTATGTTGATCCATCAATTATCAAATCTTTGTTTTAACTCCTGTGTGACAGTCATCTAAATATCCTGGATTTGTGAACAAAAAAATGACTAAACAATCAACAGTTATCAATGACGACAATTGTTACCTCCAGTGCCAATATACACACACATCCACAAAGAAAGACACACCTAGAATATAAGGAGATGTGTGTACTATGGGAACATGTCTTCGTGCTTTTTCTATACCTGGGGAATATTTAACTTACATTTCAGACATGCCATACTATTGCAAGTACAGGCCTGGTTTATCGTGAATGGAATCCATGCCTACACATACAAAAAGTGCTACTAGTACTGAGGTGTACAGTTTCCTGCCGTGTGCCATAAAGACCCACAGTTTCAGGAGTCGCTGAAAACCAACAGCATGACTCATATAGAAAGAATCAGTAACCACAGACTTAATAGTAATTTGATAAATAGTGTGTTCAGCATACATAATTGATCAACAGAGTTTATAAAAGGCACATAAAAGATGATAATGTTGATTGAGAAAGGTGAACAACTGTATACCCATTTGGGGGGCTTTAGTTAGTTGTACAGTTGAACTTAATTAAGTGGTACTGTTTCTTCAACAATGGCTTCAACTAACAAACTTAATCGAATCTAATTAATCTACCATCAAATCATTGCTTTAGAAAATTACATGACATTAAGTTTTGTACGCCCCAAAGATATTCTGTCAAATATATTTTAATTATGACATTTTCACATTTAAGAAGTTGTAACTGTCAAATGTTTGGCTTGTCTTTGCTTGAGATATGAATGAAATGTTTATCACCTTTTCTGTCAATCACCTTATCGATTGTTTTAGCTCTAGTTTCTAGAATGTTGTCCAGTTTGTTCAGTTTCCTTGTCCAAAATGTGGTAGACAAAATATGAGAAATATATTGTTGAATCTCTTAAACAGCTTGGACTAAATCTGAACAAAATAAGAACATTGTTGGCAAATAACTTGGTGTACAAATCTGGCATGTGAAAATATGTTCACACAGCTCTGCCATCAGCAGTCTACAGACAGCACATCTGGACACCACAGTATTCAGGTTAAACTGAGGTTGTTCCCACAGTAGAAATAATATACATATTTAAGTCTTTTTGAAATCACATCCTGACAGCATGGTGTATCAGTGATTTAACTCAGCGTTAATCTGCACACTTCCTGATCTCTGCTCATTTCTGGGAGCAGCAGCTTAAGTGCTGACGTGCTCTATCGGCTAACCCCCCCCCCCCCCCCCCCCCCCCCCCCTGAGAGCCAGGTCAGCAGCCCCAATATTAATAACAATCCCTCTGCATGCTTGCACCTTTTATTCTGCTCTCACATTAACCAGTGCAGCCACGTTAAAATGGGTGACAGGCTGCTTGGCGTGGACGTGCTCCTCTGTGACTTCACCAGGGAGCGAGCAGCGGCGCAGCGGGAGGTCTGTGCCCGCCGACCGGCCAGCCCCGATCCCCCGTTGCCCTTATCTACACTCATCTCCAGCAAATCAATGCCTGCACACTGATACTAGCGGGCCCTTTATCACATTCCTCACAGCATCGGTGCAGCCTGCAAAAACAGAGCCAATAGAAAAAGGAAGAAAAAGAGGCACAACAGCGCCAAATCACGCCGCTTTGTCCGGGGAGAAAACATCCACCAGGACACGGAGACAGAACAAGCAGTCGAGGAACAGAAATCCTACCTTTCGACTCAGCGCTGTCCCCGAGTAGAAGTAGTAGGCTATCCCCACCACCCACAGCACCGCAAAACATAACAATATCCTCGATTTCCTCCGCATGACTGCCTCGTTTTCTCCGTCAGCCCGCTTGCGTGTTTGGTGGCTGTGGTCGGGCTGCAGCGGCTCGTCCCGGTGCTCTGTGTCCGTGCAGGGCGCTTCGCCGTGCGGCTTCGGCGAGTTTCGTCAGTCGGTCAGGGTGAGCGGAGGGAGCAGGAAGCAGCCAGCATCAGCGGGGTGAGAGGGCAAAGGCTAGCCGGCTCTAATCCAATCAAACGCCGGCTCAGGCAGCCCTGGAGGAGGGCCGGGGCTGGCAGCGAGTCGAGCCGAGCCGTGCGGGGATCCGTGCTAAAACCAAGTAAAGGGGGTGGGGACTGTCCCTGTAGGAAGTGAGTGTTGTAACATTTCAGTAATGTGGCTGAGAGAGAGAGAGGAGCTGATCATCGTGTCTGTCTGGGCTGGAGCTGCACCGAGGACACGCTAGGGGCGCCAGAGACACTTTAACCCGGGTTAAATCAGACTATAAAGAGTATCTTCACTGGTTCTGAAACATGGATGTATTATTCTGAACCAGTTTGGAAAAGATGGGATAAAGTTATCTCCCTTTCTTCTTTCAGTGTCTTCCTTTCGTCCTTCTTTTCTCCCCCTCCATTCATTCACTCCTCCTTTCCTCACTCTCTTCCTTCATCCCTGCATTAATTCCTCTCTTCCTAACTTTCTTCCTCCCTCCCTCCCTTCCTTCCTCCCTCTATCTGATTCATTCATTCATTCCTCCCTTCTTTCATGAATTTCCTCCTTTCTCTCCCTCCATTAATTTGCTCCTCTCTTCATCCCTCTTTTCCATCATCTCTTACTTCCTCCCTCCATTAATTCCTCCCTTCCTTGGTAATGTATCAATTCCTTCCTTCCTCCCTCCTTCTATTAGCCTACCGGACATTTTTGTGACAAGTCATCCTCAGGTTGTGAAAACACGTGAGGGCTCAGTTTAAACAGATGCATGGCCTGTGGCTCTCCGTCACCTCTCTCTCTCAGATAGATATCTTCAGAAACACCTTTGGCTGAAATAAAAATGAATGCTCAGCGTGGTTAAACCTGCCCCTGAAATTTTTCTTTTCAACAGGGACAACATGTGATTCTCGACTAGAGAGCAAAAAGGCACTGCAGTCCAAGTTTAGAAAAAAATATGCTATCAATACGGACGTTGTGCCGTGCCTCCAAAGAGTGTCCCAGTAGTATTACACAAACATTTATTCATTGCTGCTCCTGCTCGGTGGTCTGAAGAGCGACTCAGCATGTATATGTTACCTACAGTAGTGTTAGAGCATGGATGGATGGCAGTCAGGCTGAAGTTAGAGAGGGGAGGATTGAGAAGCAGAGAAACAGATGTGCACATTTAGCAGAAGCTGAAAGAGGGTTTTATCTCTTGCCCTCTGCCTGGCATGTCCTGAATAACTTGTTACAAGGGTCTCAAATGTTCCCTGAAGAGAGATACATTTGGCTCTCATGAACTCCTCCAGAAATAGAGAGGCAACATCTTAAGTGAAATGTAGTGCTTGTAAAAAGTTCCTCTAAACAAGATTAATATGCTTGTATTTCATTATCATCTTTCATGGTATTATAAAGTATAATCATAAGCAATCATTCAGCTTTGTCTGCCAGACTCTGCTGGCGAATGAGATACTTATAAAATATAAAGGATATTAACATATAGATATCATGAAACTTCCCCTGTTGATTTATTACATTAGCAGAGCTCATTTGATTTATCCTTTTATCGTTTTTTGTGAATTACAATTAAATTACACTCAAAGTGCTTTGATGTTGAACATGGTTTTCATTGTATCTTGTCTTCACAACCTTTTTTGCCATTATGTATAGCAGTTTAACTTAAACAATATAATAGGATTTGATTATTTATGTCCATATTAACATATTCAAAACTTAATGAATTTCTTACACATCTGATTATATTGTAAAACGTGATTAGACATGTTATGTCATATTTTACTTTGTATTATTAAAGTTATTTTTATTTAAATGATCTTAAATTAGTATGTTTCTTGGTTTTGCACAACCTAAAACACAAGCTCCCATTTTCTGGAGAAACAGGTAAAGGAGAGTGAGAGGTCAAGTAAAGACCCGTTCAGTCTTCAAAGGTCTTTTTAAAGGAACAAACGAGGAGAGACGAGTCAGAACAAAACAAAAACGTCAAACACTTCTGAGAGCTGGGAAGGTGCATTAAAGCCATTTCCTGTCTGAACAGTTACTAAGAGCCTCATTTGTGAAGCTTTTACTGAGGCAAAAACGCTCTTTGAAGAAACAAGGTTTTAAAAACACTTTTCCATTTTCTTGATTTGACACTTCTATTCTGTCAAATTAACATTTTTCAATTTCCACAAACCCTAACGTGCAGTCACAGTGGCCAAGAGTACATTTTATTCATTTTTATACTAAATGATAATTATCTGATAGCAACATCTGAGTGACTGTCAAGATAAATATGCAGACTTCTATTTTAGTACCGTCAGTACATCAAAGCCCCTCATCTTTATTAAGAACAGAAGTAATGTCAATCTGTTAGGATTCTGATCCGGGGTATTTTGACAGCTTTGCATTAATGTTTAAAGGTCCCATGTCATGCTTTTCTGGTTATTACCTTGTGTGTTATGTAGCCTTTTCTGCATGTAAACGGTCTGCAGAGTCACAAACCCTCAAAGTACACCCTGTAGCGAGCACAACTCTAACACAGAAAAGACCTGTCTGCTGCCCCAGAACGCCTCGTTGGAGATTTATCTTTTTCCATTTGTTTCTTCCGGGAACCAAAATGGACCAATCCGCGGAGCTCCTCACACCAGGACCTTTAGCGTACATTTTCCACTAACAGGGAGTCCACTTAACTTGCATAGACCTCCCTGGTTGGTAATAGACGAGTTGGGATCGCAGAGAAATGCTCTCCGCAGACCCATGCTCACAGCTTTTATAAACCTTTTCTTACTCAATATCAAGCCACACTTATTGTTTTTACTTCGGCTGTGAGTGTTTGTGTGAGCTCAGGATGAGTTTCGCACTGTATCGCCGACCCGGAAACCACACCAGTAAGCCAGCTCACTGAGCAGTGAGCCTCGCAACGTTCCGACCAATCAGAGCACATTGGGCTCACAGGGAGGGGGGGGGGGGGGGGGGCAGGAGCCCCAACAAGCCGTTTAGGACAGAGAGTGAATACCTGGTGAATACACATACTATGATGCTGTATGAGAAACCAATGTGAGTTTGGAACATTGCACAGTATAAATCCTTTTTAGTATACCTCAACAATGGAATTATGATCAGTAGAAATGAGCATGACATGTGACCTTTAAATAAACAATATTTCCAGACGATCAATTTTCAGAATGAAAGCCTGAAGTGTTGTATGAACAGCTCAGTTGATCAATTGATAGTATAACAAAATGACTGTCATTTCAGTTTATCTAAATATGAAGCAACCACAACGACAGTGGGCCGTTGCACAATGACAGATTTACAGAAAGTTAATTTAAATGTAGTTCTTCTGACGATTATTGATTAAGGTTTGTGTTCAGTGTTTTTCAAATAAAATGTTCAGATTAAATCCAAAGCGTTACAGCCAAATGTATGTATCTCTTAAAAAATGAAGCAAATACACAGACAACATTGTTTTCAAAAGTATCTATTAAGTAATTAAGTTTCAGTAAAAAAACAGAACAGAAACAGGAATAATTCAAACACAAATGTATATGTTCTCTTCATTAATTCAATGAATGTGTAATCATTTCTCACTGAAAACCATCTTTACATTTGAACCCAAACACAGCATTTATCCATTATTTGTATTGACTCCATCAGAGTGTAGGTCCTCTTAGCAGTAATTCCATTGGACAAGCAAAAAACAATACAATGAAATTATAATGTTTCTGATTTCTTCACAACTAACCTGGTAAACTCTTTTTTTTTGCAGGCGTGTTGCTGGCTGCTTTTCTCTGTGTATTGTATTGTGTTTATATGCAGAATTGAAAGCATTACCCAAGAGTCTAATTTCTAAAGAAAAAACAAATCTACTTTCTTATTGACTACTATGTTTACACTCTGAATACATCACATGGTATCCACAAGCTGTTCCCATTCTCAAGCATAAATTACAAATAGCTTTCCATTATTTATTCAATTGAAATCTGATCTGTGGTTGGGAATGTATGGTACAGTTCACACAGTGTACTTCTCCTCCCCTTGCCTCTGAGCTTTGTGGTAGTGCGTGTAGCTGCCGTACAGCTCGTTGAAAACCTCTCTGACTCCCATCTGCAGCCCGGCCGTCAGAAACTTGATATCCTGCTCCATACACAGGTCCAGTATCCGATAGATCCCCTCCGTTAGATGCAGCTTTACGTCTGGACGCAGAGTAACCTGGAGAGGAAGATAAGAGGGAAGGAGAACATATATGGATCTGAGGTCAAAACAATGTTCTTATCTATTTCATAAATCCTATCTTTGTTTCACCATCCATAGGCTTAGTAACATCAGGCAGCGATGATCCTTTCCGTGTCACGTACTGCCATTTTCTGCTTCCAAATGTTCCTCATGCACTTAAAATAAAGATCACGTCTTTCTCTTTGTTAGTTGACTGGCAACATAATACTGTGCGGCTTCATACAGCCTGAGGCACACCTGCTGGTCACACATTATGTGCCACAATAGTTGAACATTCATCCCAGTCTCACATCCAGCTTCATAACCATGAAACTCAAATTGAGTGACATCAAATGACAGAAAACATCATCTATCCTGGCTAATGTTAATGCAAATGTAAAGAGCAGGACTCCAAAGAGAGGGGAAGGATGATCAATTAATTACTCCTGTTTGGAAAAGACACATCAAATATTTAAAGAGCCAAATGGAGCTGGTCTATGAATCTGGATTCAAAGCCCACAGGGGCTTCAGAAGGACGGCTGATTTTAAGGATGTATAAAATATCATAAGATTGTTTTTTTCAGCCTTCTGTAGATGTGTATTAACTCCATAGTAATCAGTTACTCTTCTGTTGCAACAGTTAGTCTCAACTAGGATTGCTGATGATATCTTTGACCTTAATATTGATTGTACTAAATGTTGAGATGTTGTAGGGTTGACTATTGGTGCTTTTACTAAATATACAATTATTTCTTGATTATACAATTAAATATTTAATATATAACTACGATGGAATATAATGAGTGGGTAAAGGCAAATACAGCGATAACAATCTTATAAGTTACAAGATTACATCATTTTATCTAAACACTGCCTTAAAAATATGTATCTAGTCATATCAGGGTATCGATGATTTTTTGGAGAACTGTCTATTGAACATCGTAAAAGATTTAAGAGGCACTAAATAATAAACACAATATTATGCTCTGTATCATCAACATAAATATTTAATTTTTCTGAACGTCACCATTGCCAACTCAAGTATATGTTGCAGCCTGACCGTAAAAGTGGACCGCATCATTTTTAAACAACACACACACACACACACACACACACACACACACACACACACACACACACACACACACACACACACACACACACACACACACACACACACACACACACACACACACACACACACACACACCACACACACCACACACACACACACACACACACACACACACACACACACACACCACACACCCACACACACACACACACCACACACACACACACACACACACACACACACACACACACACACACACACACACACACACACACACACACACACACACACACACACACACACACACACACACACACACACACACACACACACACACACACACACACACACACACACGAGGGGCTGTAGTCTGCCAAAATTACAATTAGTGCTTCGCTGGCTGTCCGAATACGTGGATCTGGATTTTGGGAAAACTCAATAGAACATAACGCTGCTAGACAAAGTTGTGTTTAGGTTAAGAAGTAAAACATAAAATATACAAAAAGCAAGATATCTCTGTTTCTGTTTCTTGTGTGCATTGACTCTGATCCCGTATGAGTCCAACAATATAATACAAGTACAATTCCAAACTAGTAGAGTACTCTTTTATTAGGATTTATTAACCGTAAAATGGGCAATCACATACAAATATTTGATTAAACCCATATAACACATTAATACACCCCTATTAAACCATTATGACACCTGTATTATACCAATGTTACACTTGTTATTGCACCCATACAAGATTGTTATTAGGCCCATATTGAACCAATGTAGGTAGCGCCAATAGTACACCCATATATTACATCGTTACTACACCCTTTTTACACATGGACACAGCCTTTAAAATGACTGTATCCCCTAGAATACAGAAACCATTTAAGGGTTAATAGAATAGCAAGTCTAACTCGAGACAAATGCCCAAATCCACAAACTTCTCCCACATTAAATAAAGTTGTTCTAACTGCACTGCACTCAGGTCTAATAACACCTGGCTGCCACTCAGAAAGTTCAGCTGAGGCTAAAAGCCATTAGAAGCTATTCTGACAGAGAGACGGCTAAATTAGCTATGATTTACAAAGAGGTCCATCTCTTTGAAAAGCCCCATTAGAAATCCAATGTTTGGATTATTTGATGAGTCACCCAGAGCTCAAAGGATCCCAAATACCCTTTCATCTGTCTGTCTGTCTGTCTGTATATTTTATTTTCCTTCTCTCCATGTGGAAAATGCAGAGTCAGATTGGCGTCATGTTAAATACAGTGTGTTGACAGAGAGGAGCCGCGTTCACAAGCTAGACGTTACTCACTGCTCCGTCCAGCTTTAAGCTTTTTTCCAGCACATGGAGTTACAGTAATCCGGGACCCGTTCACACAGATTTGAGCACATTCACATTCAGGCCAATGAAAATACTTCCCATCTCTGAATCTGAGCGACAGCTTCTCCGTCACCATGCTCAACTGAATCTGGCCAGCTCAACACACACCACCAGACAAACTGCTGGATCAAAGGATCAGATAAGATCCTGGTGACTGTGTTGGTGTGTGTGTGTTTTTGTGTGTGTTTGTAACCCACAGCTGTGGAAAATCAGTGGGGATGACAGCTGGGTTTGGATGAGGAATTGTGTTGACTCTGTATGATACTATGACTTCTGAGTGTGAGTGTGTGTGTGTGTGTGTGTGTGTGTGTGTGTGTGTGTGTGTGTGTGTGTGTGTGTGAGTGTGTGTGAGTGTGTACCTTCTGCAGCTCTGTGACGTACTGAGCCACCATGAAGGCCGACAGTGTGGTGAAGCTCTCGGCTGTAGCAGCAATGTGAGAGTACATCCTCTCTATTAATCTGGAGCACTGGAGATACACGTCACCGTCTGGAAATTAAGAAAAACAACAAAGATCAATGTTAAATTATAAAAGAGTTTGCATGTGATAAAAAAAGTCCTATTGAGATATCATCCCAAAGTATACACTGCGCAATATAGTTTGGATTTATTGCTGAGAAGTGAGAAAATTGGCAAACTTCTACTGTACCTTTTGAGCTTAAATTGATCCTACCGTTATAAACAATGTTGCTATACAACTGTTTAAAAACACATTAAGGATGAAATGTTTGTATTTCTTAAAAATTGAAGCGATGTGGTGAGCAGCACAGAATAAAACAAACAGAAAACCTCTCCAACTTGGTAAAAGAGCACACTGATTGGCTGGTACACAATCATTCATGCGTTGAGGAGGTAGAGATTTATGCAACAGATGTCTGCAGTTTACAATGGATTTAGAAAAGTGTATCAACATTTGTCTTTTCTGGAGGGCTACTGATGTTGAGGGGAAATCAAAAAAGTGTTTGTGTTTGGGCATGACAAATACCAGATCCAGTAACAGCAATATCTCTGTCTTGCTTATAATGTATGTAGTGGCCCTATAATTAGGGATGCACGATATTGTTTTTTTAAAAAACCGATACCGATAACTTCCTGCTTCTCAAGACCGATACCAACATTTTTTTTACGCCACTAATTATTTTAACGCGATGAACGCATGTGTATTTTTTTTCCTCGGCCGCCCCGTAGTTTCAGAGCGCATCGAGTTTAAAATACCATCTACAAGCTGATGCTGACAGCCCCGCTCCTGTCGCCCGCTTGTGGCAGACCACACTTCCACGCTCACCGGCAGGCACCGACTGGCTATTGGGAGGACCGGGAGGGTGTGTGTATGTGTGGCCCGAGCGAGCGAGAGAGACCTTACGTGCATTGTTGTTGTTAGCATCTGGTGCTAGCTAGCTGCGCTAACGGATATACGGAGCTGTTTAAATGAAAACAGAGGAGCGACATTTCGCCACAACTGCGCCGAGCACTTGACTTTATGCAGGAAGCCAGACAGTGGGACATTGTACGAAAAGTCAGCACACTCAGCACGGATAGTGCGCAACATGATTACAGCGTCCAGGCAACTCCGGTTCGAGCATATGCCTTGAGTTGCACATAGCTCCAACGCCCATACCACCGACGACATGTTTGTTTACTGTCCTGGTTTCACGGCCGCACACCATTTACGTCACAGCCAGGCATGAGTTAGGGAGCGCTGGATTTGTGAAGAACTCCCCTCTTCCTAAACCACTAATACCACAGTACTGGCAAAACGGGAGGAGCCGAGTGAAAAACAAGCGCCCCTCATCCCAATCCACCCACACCGCAGTATTTTTTTCTTTTTTTTTACCCAAAAAATATATTGTATATTATCGGGGCTATTAATACTGGTATCGGGTTTATCGAGATGACGTCATAATTCCTAATATCGGACCGATAATTATCGGGCCGATAATTATCGTGCATCCCTACCTATAATGCTTTTGGGGGTTTCCCTTTCCTGTGGTGTGTTACATAGGTTTTAATGCATGTACAGATGAAGCACTCCAGATCAGACTCAGATGGGTGTGTCCCAGTCAAAAGCCCAGCGGATGCCAGTGGCTGGGGGTGTTGCCAAATTGCTAGAGGGCGTTGCCCAATTTCCCCATTTGTTCAATTACAGGATTTAACCATGAGATGGCGCTTCATTCACAAAATACACAAAGACAACTGTTTGCAATGTTTGCAGCTCTGCAGTTGTGTTTGCTGAATACTGTAGCATTTAATCACTTATTTGTTACTGTATGGTTTTCACAAGCTACTATAATGAAAACACATCAATATTTTAGATCAAATAAAGTATATAGTTTGCTTTATGCAGTATATTTCTTGTAATATTGTTGGGGTGTTTTTACACAGTACAGTAGATTGAAGTAAATCAACTTATACATTAAGATAAGATAAGATGGACCTTTATTAATCCCGTGGGGAAATTCAGTAGTTCAAACAGCAACAGGGTGAGAGTGAAAAACAGGATAGCACAGATTCACACAGATTAATAAAATAAAAAATAAGATGAGCGATAAAAATAATAATAATGAGAAACTATGAAATAAGAAATGAATAAAACTAAAATGTAATTATCATATCATATATTATAATGTATTGTATTATTAAGTAATATCATACAGGAAACTGTAGATCCTGCTCAACAGGATGTATATGTGTATTTCTGTCGAAAGTACTGGCTTGAAACTATATGCCAGTCTTTGTTTCATGCAAAAAGACCCAATAAACAGACAAAAATAAACACGGACATACGATGATATAAAGTTAATACAGATATATTTCAGAAGTATGAATAATGGAAGCACATATTTTAATATCTTCGCCGTTATTTGATAATTTTACGAAACGGAAAATACTGGAAACTGTAGATTCTGCTCAACAGGATGTATTTACCAGGGAGGGGGTGAGGTAATCAGGTAAACGGAGTGATACGAAACGAGACGAAAAGAGACGAAGAGGGACGAAGAGGGACGGCGGGAACCGAAGAGAGACGGCGGGAAATGAGAGAGACGAAGATATACGAAGACAGGCGGCGGGAGACGAAGAGAGACGGCGGGAGACTGGATTGAAGTAAAGTGACAGACAAACATTGAGAATTTAGATATAGTTAGATAGATTTAGAGTTTTGAAGATTCAACTATGATGAAGAGAACTCTGAACGTGAGTCAAGCTTTAAGCTTGTTTTTTGACATGGAGGAGGAGGAACCTGTGATGTTGCCCTCTGTGTCGTATTGACAGAAACCGCTTTGAAGCGTGGCACAGATAAAGACAGAAAAAACTGATTTTTTACATAATGTGTATATATATATATTTGTATTATATTTATAATAACACTTTTGCCTTATCAGAATGAAATCCCATTCTACCTCAATCAAACTTTCACATTATCATAGTGACATCCCATGTATATATTTCCAGCTTTTAAATGGTTTCGTTGTGTATGTTTGTGTTACCTATGAAAAATAATATCATTTTCAAAATCTGTTTTTACGTTTTTTTTGTGATTTTGGGTCCAAAATGTTCATATAGTAGAAGATCACTGCTCTAAACAAAGTCAAACATCCTACATCCAAACGAAATAAATATAATTAATTATGATGAATACGTTAAGTCTTGTTCATTGTTTTTCACTTTTATTAAATGTTTGATATTTCCGGTGGAAATGGTGGACTATCGGACATTCAAAATGCAGCATATTTTCACTCTTACACACATATATTCTCCTTTTACATACATACATTTTCACTCTTACACACATATATTCTCCTTTTACATACATACATTTTCACTCTTACACACATATTCTCCTTTTACATACATACATTTTCACTCTTACACACATATATATTCATACATTTTGCTCTCATATTATCATATTTCAATGCACACATTCATATATTGTCACTCACACATTCATGCATTTTGTTCTCATATTCATATAATTTAATGCTCATATTTATACATTTTGCTCTCATTCGAAATCTACTAAAACAAAGTATGTCATGGTAGTGGTCAGCTGTTAAACACAAAAGTGTATCTTAAGGGCTGTAAATATAATAAGCCTGTTGTCAATTTTAGACACAGGCTTATTATATTTACAGCCCTTAATAACATTCATTTTCTGGACTCAATGTGTGTCTTGGCCGTTTTCTTTGTTCCAAGCAAACGAGTGCTTTTTGTTTTGAAATCACTTCTGCGAGTTTCGCGGGCCTCCCCCCTCGCTCCACTGACCATCAGACCATTTAGTAAGGTAACAAGCAAAAGGGCAGAAACGCCTCTCAGACGCTCTTCCGTTTACTTTTTTAATAAAGAAAAACAAATGGTCTGTAGATACACGGACTCATATAGCCTATGTATGTATACTGTAAGGAGAATGTATGTGCGTGAGAGGACCAGTATGAATTACGGGATAGAAATATGCAAACACAAACCTACAGACTGGGGGATGGGAGATCACAGGAGTGTGGGGGGGGGGGGGGGGGAGAGCTGTGGAATGTGACCCTTGGGAGAATTCCTCCACACATTCCGATGGCCAATTCGTTTTAAACAAAGAGTTCGCAACACAGGACAGCATGGGCAACATGGGGGGTGGGGGCTGGTGAACGGTCTTGTCAATGTTTGTAAACACAATCCCCAGGATGTGTCCTAATCAGGAGCCGGGTAAATGAGAGACTGAGGAGCCCCCGAAAAACAGATCCCGAAATAGCTCGTCCTCGTTTCCGCAGCAGATAGGCCTACAGTATGGTGTCTGTTATGTCAGTTATTTTTAAATAAAACGTTGAAAACTGAACTTGAAAATAGTTTCCTCTTTTTATTTTATTTATCATTTTTGGGACGGGGAGACGTGTGTGATTAAAAATTAATTTGCAGAAATGTAAAGTGATCTAACTAAGTTCTATTCATATTCTTGACGGGAAGAGCAGTGTAAATGGGTGGCCATATGCATTTGAAAAGCAATATAAATCACACAGTTATTATACAATAGGCTATAAAAGCACCATCGATAACCATTACCTTTATCCAATTCAAACTTTGGACGGGGAAAAAGGAAGGTGTACATGGTTGGGCTATACTGTAGGCCCAGGGGCGGCGGGTGCTGGAGGCAGGCTAAGCCTTCCCAAATATTTGTGTAACTGCATCCTGGTAAAATAAAAATATAATGTCTTTGACATTAGCGCTGCCATGCAGCCACCTGTGCCCTGTACCACGAAGCCAGTTCAACATACCCTGGATATGCTTGAGTTATCTTAACTAACCCTAACAAACGAGATCTCGCTAAACGGTCCTACGGCGCTGGTTATCAACTCGGTAAATCAAGCCAGGGTTTCTCTCTCCAGCTGAGAACGCGTTCACGTGAAAGGGGCGGGGTTAGCTACATTTGACCAATCACAAACAGGGACAAGTGTACTGACAGCGCAACATCATACTTCATTAATGAAAAGTAAACTAATATTAGACAAATATGAACTTTAAACATCCATGATGACTTAAACATATAATCCAGGATACAAGCCACATAGTTGCACCTGCAAGGAGAATACAGAACAACTCGTTAAAAAATAAACTACCGAGTGTTTGAAAGCGTACAACAGTTTTATGATACTGCCCCATCTAAAACACGAGGGGATCTGACTTTATTACATTTGAGTTGAGTGTTTCGTCAAATTAATGTGTTGCTTAAAATAATACTTCTGCATACAGTATATGTGACAATGTAACTAAGTGTTGCACGGCCAGATACGGCTCGAGAAGCTGACTCAGATAAGGAAATATTGTGATATCGATGTGAGATCGATGATCTGATTGATGATCTGATTGATGATGTAATATGAATGATAAGTGCGACACGTCGGCGTCTTCTCTGCATACGGCAGTTTAAACTGCATTTCCTTTTTCCTGTAATATGACTTGAGAGATTTAAACTCCGCACACTGAGCTCTGATCGGTCAGCAGGCGGTGCTTTCACTGAGTTGATCTCTTTTCTATAGACGCCGGAGGCGGGCAGCGTAAGATGAAAAAAAAAGTTATTTAGCCTTCCCAAACCTGAGCCTCACGCGCCGCCTATGTGTAGGCCTACTGTATACATACAAAGGCCATTCAAGCTAGAGTTCTTCTGGAAATGTTCACATCAGGCACCTTCAAGTTAAACAATACTAAACAATTAACACAGTAGGCCTAAATTATGTGGATTAAACCACATTTATTTCGTTAAAAATAAACAAAATATGATTTTGTTTGAATGATTAAATGTCATCAGGAACCTTCAAGTTAAACAATCAGGAGCACACTTTAATGTGCCGCCACCTCCGGACTCGGCTTGACTCGGTTTAAAGAATGCACACATGTGTTTAATCGTTTATGTCAGATATGTACTAAGTAGCCTAAATACATTTGTTCCTGCTCAAGATTAGATTCAACTTTATTGTTATTGCACATATTGCAGGTACTGAGACAACGAAATGCAGTTAAGCTTCTAACCAGGGGTGCAACAAGCAGCGAAAAGTAATGTGCACAATACTACAGAAAACAATTAACACAGTAAATTATGTGGATTAAACCACATTTATTTCGTTAAAAATAAACGAAATATGATTTTGTATGAATGATTAAATGTAGGGTGAATTGCCCTAATGTGGGAAATTTTTGCATTTCAGACTTCGGGAATATATTGCGATATGAAGCCGATACAATAAATCAAAATCCAGTACCATTCCGAAATCCCCAGTAATATTAGACACTAATAATACAGTAAACTATTAACACTGTACATATTATTGTTTGCCCGTGGGATTAGGATGATCGGTAGTGAGACCCGTGCTGCATTTTCCTCCGGTCGGATGTGATATAAAAACAAAGCGATTATTTTTGTTGTTGTAAACTCACGTGGATTAAATTTAGTGCATTCATTTCAACTCGCGAACATATGTACATTAAATGATCGTGAGGATGATGATTGAAAATCGTTTGTTTGAGCCTGGATGCATTTCCTGATCTAAAAACATAGCGATGGTTTTGTACTTACGCCAACGTGAATTAAACATTATTTTGTTAAATAAAAACATGGGGATGTTTAGTAAATGATTACATGTCTCTTATTTAGCACAGAATATGATCCTATCCGTGACATATAGATCTTAACAAATATGCTATATCAGATACCTGTAGATCAGCTGTTTATTTCACATGAGTTCCAGTGTGGCAGCTTTTTAATCACGGCTCCCCCTGGTGGATCCATGATCCATTGCAGCTGGTTTCATTATAATTAAATGTATTTATCAAGGGGGGCGTTTCAAGTCCTGCGGGGGGGTTTTCCTTTTCAGCAGGGGCCCACCCCGTGCCGATCACGGACCCGCACGGGTAGGGGTCTGAAATGGAGCGCTCCATCTGTAAATGGTCTGAAAAGGCTGAAATCCCCAAATTCCCTACAGAGGGAGTTTCTCTCCCACACACTCCCCCCGCCTGGAACACATCCATTGGCCTCTTTTGTTTACTTATATTATATTAAAGCGTGCAAACATGTCACAATAGAGGCACAAAATACAAATATGAACCTGAAAATTAGCAGATTATGTCGTCTTTAACAATCTTTTTTGCATGTGTGGAACATCAGGGTTTCAGGACTGTTATAAACTTCTCTTATTACTCTCTCTAAGAGAAAACTCAACTCCTATGCTTTTCAAAGTAGGTAAATGAAACAGGTATTTGCACAGAAAGTGGAGTGCTTCTTCCTTAAACCAGTATTTACCTCCACATTATGGTAATATAACAAGTCCTTTGGTTAGAGTGGTTGTACGTTACCTGTGTCACTGTCCCCTCGCTGCCGACCCTCCTGCATGATGGATGCCACCAGACGATAGAAGACATTCAAGAAGGACGGCGCGGCGTTCAGCATCACCTGGACACACGAGACGTTCAGTCATAAAACATCGTTTGTTTTGTAGCAGAATTGTGTAGACTTAACCTATATTATAGGTGTGGACACTCAAAGTGTTGTTTAAATCGGCTATGTTGGTTTTTCCACAGCCACAAAGAGTGGAGGACAAGCAAACCACCGAAGCACTTTGATTGCTGAATGGTTACAGTGCATGCCATATCATCTTGGTTCAGTTTCAGGACCTGTGCTTCATGACGTATCCCTCTACTCCCTCCCCCCAAATAATCTAACCATTGTTTATGTTGGAAAACCTCTATTTTCAATGATGCGGTGGGATGGTACATATATTCTTGAGGTTAATCCAACTGACTTAACAGTTTATGACACAGACTTTTACTTGAATCCAAGACCAACTTTCCATCCTCCATATTTTAAATACTGTAGCTCCCGAGTGCTTTACACACTTTAAAAATTCTAGTGGAGTTTGATTGTTCAACATGAACACCAAATATGTAGGCCAGATAACACGGAAATATGTAGACAATTAGAAGAATAGATCAAACACAAGTGATATTGCCAGTTTGATCAAATCTTTCTTTTTTGTGTACATTCTAAGAAGATTTATGGGAAGATTAAAAGGGGGAAATTAGGATGTTACGGCCCGTCCACACAGCGGCGTGCGTTGAAGCTTCCAACGCTTCTGCCCATTCACTTTGAATGGGGTGACGTCACTTTTAGCCGAACTGCATTTTGGGAAGCGACGTGGAGCGTTGCTGGCGTTGCTCGCTTCAAAAGTTGAGCAATGTTCAACTTTTGGCGCCTCGGCAGAAGCGTCAGCCAATGAAATCCCGTTTATGCAAATCTGCCAGTACAAGCGCTAGCCAATCAAACCGCGTGTATGCTGGGAGAGACTACGCAGGTCATTTCCTCATATTCAAAAAAATGGAGGGAAAATTCATTATAGCGGTAGTGAATCACCCGGTGCTGTATGATCAGTCTCTGTTCATCTACCGGGATACAAACCGGAGGAGCGAGGCATGGAGGGAGGTGGCAGAGACAGTGGGTGAAACTGGTAGGTTTTCGCCTGTTTGGGGATTTTATATCCAGTTTACTTCGTTTTAACATTGCTATTGCTTTGTATGTCGGGGGGGGGGGGGGGGGGGGGGGGGGGGGGGGGGGGGAGATTCATGTGACTGGTTGTTGGTCGCAAAAAATCCCCAAGCTTCAGACACGCCCACCGCCAAGCGTCAACGCACGCTGCTGTGTGGACGCTCCGTTAGAAGTTAACCAGAGAATCATCTTTTTTATTTTGACAGAACTGTCCTGCAATATCTGTCCATCACATCGTTTTCACTAATTAAGTCGTAACAGAGCAGCTATAAAGCTACACTCCAAAAATTACAGAAGTAAAATGGATTTCCCTTAAAGCTACGTTTGCATTTTCCGTCCACACCTCTCTCTTTGTTCCCTTTTCAAGGCCTGAAGTGGACTGAGGAGGGATGAAGAGAGAGAATATAAACGAGGAGCAGATGATGTCAGCAGCTCTAATTGGGGCTTAGTAATGGTTTCCATCAACTTATACCTGCTCCATGCCAACCACCACTGCATGCCAGCTCCCCTACCTCCCCCCCTATCACACCTCCTTTCTCCAGCTCGCTCCCTTCTTTTATACCTTTTCCTGAAACTTCCCTCGTGCATCGCATTCAAATCACAAGTCCTTTATTCTCTGCCTCTTCTCTCATTTCTACCCTGTTGTTTTGTTCTTGCCTCCACTCTCCTCTCAGTTTTATTTCCCTCCCCTTTACCTCCCTCCTTCCCCGCTGTATTTTACCCTAACAAACATCTGATATCAGTTAGCTGGTTCTTTCCTTGTTTGATTCAAAGCAGCTGCACCATTTCAGTTGTACCATGTCACTTTTTCTCAACAAAATAAATAGTCAACATTTCGGGGAAGTGTACAACAAAGAAATTATCACATTAACACCACCACAACAAAAATGCAAACGGTTGTCTGTGGGCTGGAATGTGGACTATCATTTGAATGTTTTATATTTGTAGTAAAAATGTCTCTCTTGGGAAAATGTATTTTTTGTATTCTTAGGGTGCATTCCAGTAAAAGCTGAGAATTGGGATGTTTGTGGTTTGGTGCGGCTGCAGCATGACTCTGGTAGCTGCAATATCCTTTCTTTAAAAAGACACATTCCTCTGGGGCATCCTGGGTTGCAGAGTTTAAAACACATACCGCATATTCTTTAAATAAGGTATTCAAACCAGCAGCCTTGAGCTGTAATGACCTTATTACATAAAGGTTAGGTTTGGTTCCTATAAAGGTCACAATAGGGTAAGTGCCTGATAAATAATGTTTTCTTTTTAACATCACAAAGAGCAGAGGAAAGTCTTATCCTGCATGTTCTGTGATTGATTGAGACAAAATCACAGAGGAAAGAGCCAACCTTCAATGATACAAATGGAAATGGGTTGGATATAATACTAGGACCACCTAGAAAAATCATCAAGTTAAATCAACACATTTGTAAAACAGTTTCAAGAAACACTCAACAATATAACCTTCTAGCAGGTAGGATTTATCTCAGTATCGATTGTTTTACGCTGCATTAGTTTTAGCAATGTGTATGTAATGAACCAGCGATTCAGTTTATATGAACCATAATTCAAATCTTCTGGGAAAATCTAATACACTTATTGGCATATTTTATGTTTTTGTCTCACTCACACATTTCTGCTGCACTTGTTGGTGGCTGTGTGTACGGTTACACCACATGCATTAATAACTGTATTTGTAATATTATCACATCTTGTTGCAGAGGCAAAGTCAAACCCTAGATTTCAATGTAATCCCCTATTAAATCTACGCCTATAAACCTTTGACAATGTTTTCATACAAAAAACGTTTCTTTAAATCATCTTTAAGTTAGCTTCCTCCTTCCATCAACCCTCTTCTTACCTGTGGATGACGCTGGATGATGGCAAACAGCGCCTCATGAACGGCCAGAAACACTGAGTGGTAGACGGGCGGGGTCAGGTGGTCGAGGGGCACCGACTGCAGCGCCCCGAGGATGAGGAGGACATGATGAGGGTTGGTGAGGAGCCCCTCGCCCTGACGCAGCAGTGATGTCATGGACGTCACCGTGGGAACCGTGAAAGGAACGGTCAGAGAGACGTCCTGCGTGGAGGATTTTACCAAAAACTGTAACAACAGGGATAAGCACACAGAAGAAGAGTTAGAGGAAGGATATGCAAGCAGGTAGGTGCAAACAGGTCATGAATACTTTTATGTGAAGATTAACCTGTTCAATAAAATTGCAGTTCATAATATAATTGATATAGTCCTCAAAGTACGGTAAGGGATGATTAAAATGGCATTTTAAATGGCATATTAAAAACAGCAACACAGTGTGAATCATGATACTTTCAGTATTATTTTAAATCAGGGTCTCTTTTGACATATCTGCCATGATAGTAAGCTAGAAAGAATTGTCAAGTCTTGAGTGCATATTAGTGGAAATGTACCATCCAGTTATTGAAGTTCTATATCAACCCATCCCTAGTTGCAAATGAACAAAGGCACATACATTTGACATTTCAGGGACAAGTTTTAAATGACCTTTTACGGCTCTCTAAAAGTATTTGTTAGAGAATTCAATATGAAAATCAAGATCCTGGCAACAGCAGCAGGCCTTTTCGACAGCAGGAAATCTTGCTTCATCATAGCAGGAAGAGCACAGGTGTTACTAATAACAAACAATGGCTCTGTTCATTTTAGGGAGCTTAAACCGAAGCAGCTCAAATTCAGCCATCATTTATTTGATTATCTCCACCTGTGCCGTTTCTGCTGTGACAAGTCAACATGTCCTCCGTGAAAAATGCCTATTATGTTACCATAAAACCTATTTCGGATGTTACCCTTTTTTGCCGAATTGCATTCTGTTCAAGATCTGTGTGTTGCTCCCCAGAAAATAGGACTTTTTATATCTATTCTACTGCTATTAAAGATATTATTATTTTACTGGCATTCAATTTGAATGATTTAGAACTTTTAAATTAGCCTTCTCTTACACCGCCTATTAAGAAGAAGGTGAAGAAATTATATAATCAATAGATCAGACAGATGACACAGCAGCATGGTTAGCATACTAAGAAAGTGCTGTGTGTGTAACTGTGTGTGTAACTGTGTGTGTACAGTATGTTTTAAGCAGATTGCTGTGTTGTCTGTCTGCTCCTCCCAGCAGCTCTGATGGAAACCACATTGACCTAAAAGAACCTTAGAGGAAATTACAGATAACAGGCTCTCCGACAGAAACCAGCAGACTGTGATTGTCATTTTGGCTGCCGAGTCACTCAAGACGTCTGTCACATGTGCTTCCAGTCCCTACAATGATTACTGATGTAAGGTCGAAGGAAAACATACTGCAAAAATGCTCTCAGTGTCACTGTGCCCTGCTTGTGTTTCTGTATCTGGGCATGTTACACTGAGAGTTCCTTCTTTATGATTTTCCGAATGTTATAAATGTATACCTCTATCCAACAAGTGCACTATGATATCAATTCAATTAGGGCTGTGCAATTAATCGTATTTTAATCGCGATTACGATTATGGCTTGCGACGATTATGAAAACAGCATAATTGACAAAATACGATTATTTTGCTGGGTGCGCTTTCGCCCCTCCCTAAAAGCCCACTCGGCCACGTGGGAGTGACATGTGTTGTGAGTGTTCAGCGCGAGCGAAGATGTCAGAACAAGAGCAGCAACTCGTTAAAAAGAAGGGTAAAACTATTTCCACTATTTGCAAGTACTTTGCCATTACATTTCACATCGCTAAAGATATCTGCCCAGTTAGCACTGTTAGCAACCAGGGCTTTAAGCAACTTGTCAACACGTTGGACAAGCGTTACGCAATGCCGTCTCGGTATTATTTCAGCAGGTCTGAGCTGCCTGCACTATATGACAAATGCCGTGGGGAAGTTGAGAGATGTGGCTTCAGCTGACTACTTTGCTACCACAACAGACCTATGGTCTAGCCCAGGGGTGCCCAACCAGTCGATCGCGAGATGTGTCTAAAAATAGAACAACAATATTCTGTTTTATCGTTAATGTCCTGTAACATAATCTTCCTGTGCCAGAATAATGCACTTGAACGCATCAAAGCTTTGTGATTGGCCGGCGTCACCCCATGTGTCGGGGCGTGGCTGAGGGTCTTCAGTACAGGTGGCAATATTGTCACCTGCCTGCGCTCATCTCTGAAACCAGACCATGTAAACAGGCTGGTGTTTCTTGCGAACAATCTTTAAGAGATGACATGAGCAGCCCTACCAGCATTTGCCATGGTGGCCTAAACATTTTTATTTGGTCTTAAATTGTAGTTCAACATTTATTTCCTGTTACTTCTGGACCATGACGGTTGGCCAGCCTTCAACGTTTAACTGAGTGGAATATGTTGAATATGTTTTACCAACATGTTGGCTATATGTTAAGGAGTTTTCAGTAGGTTGTGACAGTGCACTGCATCATATTTGATTTAATTTATTTTGGTCTAATTTATTTTTATTTATCATATTAATAATATATGTTTAGTATGGTTTTGGAAGTGCGCTCCAACATATTTGTTGATCTTGTTTATTGGTAAAATATTATTTGTTTTACAGTTCAATAAATGGTCAATGAATAATCGTCAAAATAATCGTGATATCAATTATTGACCCAAATAATCGTGATTATGATTTTTGCCATAATCGCACAGCCCTAAATTCAATCCATTTTCTCTGATTCACAAACATGTACTTATATACCGTTAAAATAATGTTAAGGCCTCATGTCAGGCTTTCAGAAAACTGCAATCCTCAAGTGCAATTGTCTTTTCATCCTGAAATACTGTTCACCACTCCTGAAGGTCATTTTCAACGACATTTAACAAAATGTTAATTATATTATTAATTATATAAATAATTTAGTTCAGACATTTAATGACTTTAGACTCAACCGAATGGCCAAAAACATACATTTCAACTTGGACATTAAAACCAATGACATATGACTTAACTTGGACCTGAGCCCTTTGACTTTACAAATACTTGATCCAGTCCACTAAGCCAAAAAGATTAGAACTTATGTTTTTAAGAAACCTAATTAAATGCTTAGAAAGTGCAGCATAACTTTTTATATAACTAGGTTTAGTCGCATTTTTAACACAATTTTTCTTGAACAAACAAAAACACATTTTAATATGCATTGATAATTTAATTATACTTTTACTCTGTTGTTATAATTGCAAATCAAAGTTTAGTACTTGGGACTTGATTTGAAAATTACTTGTGTGACTTGCAAAGCAATTACTTGGTCTCTCCCCTGCTGATACGACGAGCGTAATGCCAATTAAAAAATAAAAGGATTAACCCAAACAACTCCTGATACTAAAAACAAAATCCACAAATCTGTGTTTTCTTTCTATGAGTAACAAACAGGCCCACTGAAACAAATTATTTGATGTGTTTGCAGCATGGGACTTGTGTGTGTGTGTGTGTGTGTGTGTGTGTGTGTTTCTCACCACCATGGCAGATATAATCTGTGGTGCAATGAGCCACAGAGCTTTAGAGCAGGGCTCAGGTAACTGACAGCAGGAAAGCAGCTTAATGATGATCACTGCAGATAGCACCTCCTGGAGAACAGAGACAGAGGGAGAAATCTGATCATTTGATTTTCATTCAATGCGAAAGCCTACATGATTCATTGTGGCGGCAAAAAAAAAGCAGAATCTCCCTCCCATCAAGTAAGAGAGCTGTTCATATGACACATTGTAAAAACTGCACAGAAAAAATAAATAGACTCTATTCAAACAAGGGATATCTAAATGTATGAAAGTGATTAGGGTTGACCCTCACCCTGTAGTTTCCTGCCCTCAGTTTGCCTGTGTCCAGCCCCTCTCTGATCAGCAGCAGCAGCAGGTTAAACCGACCTGTGGTGCTTTTCTCCAGCAGGTGGCGCAGCAGCTCCTGCACAGCCGGCTCCAGCTCACACACATCACTCGCAGAGAGCCAAGAAGCTGAATAGCAGAAGTGAAAATGTGTCACAATCAGGATATTGATGCATTACTGAAAAACAAAACTTAAATAAGTGTTATATAAAGTTTTGATTGACACTGTCAGAGTTCATTTACCAATGAGTGAAATGAGCAGTGATGTTGCACTAAAAACGGAAATATAAGTATTTTGAATGTTTATCGTCTATATCAGCGGTTTCCAACCTGTGTGCCGCGGCCCCATAGTGGTCCGCAAAGGCATTGCAAGTGGGCCGCCAAATCATTTGCAAAACATTATGATTTGTGTGGAAACATTTCATTATTAAGATTTGTTTTTATTTTAACCTCTTTTCCTTTTTCTTTCTTGATCCTCCTTAGCAACGGTTATTACACTCCTTGAAAGCGGTCTGAACTACTGGATTAACAATGTGTCACATGTTCTGAATTGACCAATCAGAATTGAGTATTCAACTAAACCGTGTAATACAAATGTCTGTTTGTTACTGATAGCCAGCTCCTTTTCTAATTAAAATCAAAAGTACTCTGAGAACTTTATTTAGCCTCCGTATTGTTTATGGTTGAATGTGGGCCACGAAACATTTTTTGATTCTTAAGTGAGCCCTGAGTTGAAAAAGGTTGGGAACCGCTGGTCTATATAATTAAGCATTTTGATTAATGATGCCACATTTTTAGATATATTGTTTTTTATAACAATGACTTTCCTTTTCCTGCTTTTTTTTAATATTATGTCTCCTAGAAACTACAAATGTATCAAAATGGACATCTGGAACATGAGGTTATATAAATGTAATTTATGACGCTGTTAAATTACTGCTTTTTTAAGACATGATACATAGAATTATCTCAATTAAATCAGTTGTAAACTTGTGTCAATATGTACAATATGCAGAGGAGCAAAATGAAAGACAAACACTGGCTGATTGCACATGTGAAGGATATTGTTTTCTTCACGTACCCGTCAGCAGTTTGTGCACATTCTGCAGTATCTGCATGTACAGCTCGTCCAACTCCTTCCCTTCCTTCTTCTCCTCCTCCCTCTCTCCTCTGGTCTTCTCCACTGCTTTGTAGAAAGTGGACAAGAAATGGAGAGAAGAAACAAGGAAGTCCAACGGCCTATGGGCACAACTGATTTCTTTGAGGATCTGCTGGCAGCAGCCCTGATAGAGAGCCATGTGTCTCATTTGTTTCTGCTTGTTCTCGTCCTCCACTGACAGTGAGGACAGCTCGCAGTGCAGCATGACCGTCACGACTTCTACTACAAAGGCCTGGCCGAGGACTCTGGCAGGTTGGATGGGTGACTCGCTGACAGTTTGGGGTTTAAGGATGGACTCAACAGCCGGTCCTAATGAAGCGGTCGTTCTTGTGAGCATCCGAGTCAGAGTTTGATCCATTTGTTTACTCTTCCCCAAGTTAGAGGTCATTGCCTGGGAGAAGGAGGTCAGCGATGCCAGCAGGAGATGAACAGACAAAATGGATGCTCCTGGTTTACCTGACATAGCTGTTGAACTGGGAGCCACTATTTTCATGTTTGACATCTCCTCAGTGGTAAGATATGAGGCAAACTGGTCCAGGTTGAGTCGAACGCTGCTGTTTCTGATTATAATCAACTGGACTAAGGCCCTGATGAAGCCCTGCGCTTCTTTGATTAAATCCAACCAATCGGAGCTGCTTGTGACTCCGAATGCTCCATTGTTGCTGCGCCAGAGGAGAGAGGAAACGGAGGCCTGCAGCAGGGTCCCACCGTGGGTGAGCTTCAAAACACTTTGGAAGTTTCTACCCTCCAGGAAACAGGTGAGAATCCTGAGCAGCTTCACCAGGAAGAGAGCTTCATCTCCAGATTCAGGAGGCTCCTCGGCTTTCTGACTGGAGGTGGAGGTGAGCATGAAGAAGAGCAGGAGGAAAACAGAGGAGATATCCTCAGAGTTCATCCCATCTGGGTTTAGATTGGTTAAGATTTGGAGTAAGTCTACCAGCTCCTTGCTTTGTGTGTCAGTCAGCAACACAGACACCTCTCCAGCCTTTGAGGATGTCAATATATCCCCAACTATAGTCTCTTTATTCACAAGTGTGGACAGAGGCAGTCTCTCACAAGCTCCAGTTCCTTTCTCCTGAATCTTCAACAGTGTAGGACAAACCTTGGGTATATGAGCTGCCTTGAGAACACTAACAATCCTGTCTGAAAGGGAACAAACGGTAGCAGAGAACAGGGAAGGCAACTCAGCAAGAACGGGGCTTTGGACAAGTTGTGATGATACAAGAGACACGCTGAGAGAGCCGGGGGGACAGCCTTTTCCTCCGTTGGTTTGTCTGCTGAGGAGTGAACCAACAAGCATATCAGCCACACAACCCACATCTTCTCCGGTCAGGTAAGGAGCAATCAGAGGCAAGTTGGATGTGATGAGATACCAGTGAGCTGCGGGGTAAGAGCTGGAGGTCACACTCGCTATCTGCCCGTCCCATACCTGCTCTCCATCCAGACTCAACTCTAATTCTGATTTAGCTAAAATAAACTGTGCCATACTGTTTAGAAGAGCTGCTGTGTTGGGTTCAGAGAGTAAGGGGGTATCTAAGAGAACTTTTTTCATCTGTTGCAAAGTGAGGAGCTTGAGCAGCAGACGGCTCAAGGGGCTGCAGGACGGCTGCAGATGTGACGGAACAATCTCACTAGAGAGGAGGCTTTCTATCTGTGTTAGGACTGGAGCACGGTCTTCAGTCTCGCTTGCAGCGGCTGTCAGCGCTGTGTATTTGCTGCAGTGGATATCAAACAGCGTGTCGACCTCCACCAAGGTGTATCGGAGAAGCAGAGTGGCCTCAAGGGTCTTCTGTTCCCACAGTGCTCCCATGTTATACTCCGACATCTGCTCTGACTTTTTCTGGTCCAAATTATTTTTGCGTTTCCGTGGGGTACTTTGAACTGAACTTGTTTTTACATCTTTTTCTTCTGTTGACAACAGATTCAGTAGCTCCTTGACAACCTGTTGCATCTCCACAATCAAAGCCTGACTCTGCCTGACTATGGGAAGAGGAGAGGCATTGTCTAGAGTCTTCAGACTAAACAAAACAACATGTAGCAGCTGACTGAGGGAGAACAGCTTCTGAGATGCATCTTTTCTACTCTGATCTTTTTTCGCTCCATTGTCATCTACTTCACCATCAATCTCCATCTTCTCTGCCTCTCTTTCCTCCTGCACCATGTCAGGTAGTATATGTGTCCTGATGCTCTCCAACACCAATGAGCAGATCTCCAGCCCCTGGGAAGAAGGAGTGTCCAGCAGACAAGTCCTGAGCGAGGCGGAGGCGCCCTCAGAGAGCAGAGGAGGTCGGAGGTTGTCTGATGCTGGCTGACAGATCACAGTCAAGAGCTCGGAGAAGAAGCGAGGCAGCTGACGGAGCTTAGTGTATGTCTGGAGGAGACTGCACACCAGGAGCTGTTGGGGAAACAAACATTTGGTCTCAGTCAAAACTAATCCCTCACACATTTGTAATCCTGCATTCGCAAGTTGAGTTTTCTTTTCTGAAATAAACAGATCATTGAGGATTAAATGTAAAGACCTGTCTGGCCCGTTGCACTCGTGCTTCCATGCATTCAGAGTCAACCCAGGCTGAAGATAACAGCTGGTCCAGGTCTGGTTCAATAATCAGATGGTTGAGACTCAACAGCGCTTTTAAACAGCGGTACCATGCCGGGATGCTGAAGGATAAAAGGAAAAGATAACAACAATTCAACAAAGAAAAATGTTACACTTCAAAGGTTTACACTTTTTATTTTACATTCAAAGCTTTTTTTTTAACTTTTTGAATAAAGCTTGGCTTAATGTCGTAAATAAATGAGGTTTTTTTAAATATAAATGATGGTGCCGTTAAATTGCTGTTTTTTTAAAGGCTCCTGCTAATACAGGAGTGTGCGCCGGCCAAAAGGAGAGCAAACTGTTGTTCAAATATCTACAGTCTTTCTCCAGAATCACAGACTCCACCTTTAACTGAATACATCAAGGAGTTTTGGTTTACCTTGGCTGGGCGTGGTTGAAGAGCATTTGTCCCAGAGCTGCGTAAAACTTGAGTTGGACCTCTGCATGTCTGATCCGGTCTGCTGCTACATTGTAAATATCAGCTGACAGAGTCTGGTTCAGCAGGGACTCCACCGCCAGCAGAGCCAGGCTCCAGCTCTCTGGGGGACCGGGGGAGGATGGGGGAGACTTCTGCCCCGGGGAAACAGGAACTGGCTGGTCTGCTTTGGCAGGGGAGTTTTCATCGAGATGCATATCCAAGGTTGGGACCAATCTGGCGAGGAAATAAAAACACAGCATCCTGTGCGTTTCCTCACTTTCTCCTCGCCCTTTTCCGTAGCTTTCCACAAAGAACTTAAACAGCAGAGACATTGTGTTGGACTTCACAGTGTAGTGGAGGGCCGGCTCACAGTATCCTGGAGCACTCAGTTTGCAGAGTATTGCACTGACTGGCTTTAAGGGGCCTTTTGCGCCTCCAGGACCGCGTTTCCCAGACTCTTCTTTAGATGGAAGGAGCTCGTCCTTGTAGGCGGTCAGGTGCTCAGAGGGGAACAGAGCTAACTGGAGAATGGAGTCAATCTTGATGCGGAGGTCTCTGGACAGCTGCTGACGGAGGCGCAGGTGTGTGTGAGCAGCAGCAAATTCCCCAGAGGTAAGCAGGTGTCGGAGTAATACTAAAGGTTGGATCAGCTGGTTGGTTACCATGGTAGAGACTCTGTTGGGATTGGCTTGTTGTCGCTGGACAGACAAATAACATGACAGCACTTGAAGCAAGACTTCAAACAAATTAGCTGAGCGGACATTTTCCTTTGGCTTGGCAGGGGGTTTATTAGCGTCTAACTCAGGCTCACCAGGAGGAATTTCTGTTATCGGATCAATTTGGGAATGGTCCAAATCGATTTGATGACTCTCAGTCATCACTTCATCCCCACATGTGACAGATTCTGTCACTAAGGGCTCTGTGAGCAATGGCTGTTGAAGTTCACAGCAGGCCAGAGAGCAGAGCTTAGCCAGGAGATCAACTATGAGTTCATACTTTGTGGTGAAGACAGACGAGAGCGCAGGGGAAGAGAGGAGGCCCTGACACACACTGAGGATGGTGGACACACACACCGGAGACTTAGAGCCAACACGTGCACATTCCTGGAGACGGTCAAGCAGCAGCTAGAGATAAAAAGAAAAAAGGGTTGTCAGTAACATCCTCATATTTCAATCTCAACACACCATGTTTGTAGAGTAGGAATGCTCTGCAGCCAAAGCATTGAATCGTATGTGCAAGATACACATCAGTCATTTATTTTTAAAGTGAGGCAAAAAGGGTGCACATGTGTGCTGGTGTTCTTATTAAGTATTTGCAGCACACCTGTGCCATGTTGAGCCTCAGGCTGACGGTCTTGCCCCTGCTTCAGAAGAGAGTGGAGCTTCTTGCTGTGAAGAAGATCGTCAAGGTAACACCACAGTCCTTCAAGAACATCCTCAGAAAACTCCACCTTCTGGTTGTACCGGCCCGTCAGAGCGTGGGTGCACCAGTCCAACAGCACCTACATGTGAAGAGAATCGAGACAGAGTACATGGTGGACATGTATATGCTGCTTTCAAATAATTCAAAACAGACAATATGAATTACTCATGTATATCTGAAATGACAGATTATTTATCATAAACTTATCCAATTAATGAATGGAAATAGAAAATATAGCACTGTACAATACCTTAAGGGTACATTTGGTCGAAAAACATGCACTAAGATTCATGCCAAAGTCTTAAAAGTACCTCCAAAAGCAATCCAAAAGAAAAAAAGACTACAGCACTGCTAAGATTAATACATTTCAAAAAAGGCTTTATTGGAATAAAGGTGTACTGTAGGACACATATAATCTGCAGATAATGTAATGGACATAATTAACTAAACGATTTGCTGCTATTTAAGTGTAGACAATTGGTACCGGTCTTTATTGATTATACTGTACATTATGGGTTTTGTCTCAGATAATAAACTACAGTAGGCACTTCTCACAGCAAACACAGAACATCTAAAAAACAACAGCAACCATTGTCATTCTGTGAAGACACAAACACCTGTAACATAACTTAACAGTGGTTACCTGTTCCTTGTTGGGGAGCAGGCACTGAGTGGAGATCCAGGCAAAACGTGCCAGCTTTAACTTGTCCTCCCATTGAGTATGAGGACTCTTCAGTTTCAGATGGATACCTGAGTAGATGGCAGCCATCTCTTCAGATGGTGCTACTGCTGCACAGGTCTGAAGAGAGGGGAGGGAGAAGACGAGTTTTAGAAGGGTTATTCCTTTGGGGAAATTCACAAGCTAACCAGGATATAAAGTAAATAGTTAATATGAGCCCTACCTTTACAATATGCATAACTAAGTTAAATGTATGCATCAATCATAATTCAATAACATAATAAACCTACATCTGAAATGGGCCATTCTGTATAAGTTCTGCATTTAATGTATTTATTTGGTATTTATTAAGAAGCATATGTGGGTGTCAGTCAATACGTTTGTACTTTTCTTTAAGTAAACATTGCAGCGTTTTTAATTACTTTTATTTTAGTAAAAGATCGAAGTACTTCCTCCACCACTCTCTAGCAGTGATACACAACTCTGGTAAGAGAGAAGAGTGTATGAAATCTATAATAAAAAGACCATGGAAAGCGGTGTTTTAAACATAAAATAAAAAAACACCTTAAACTGATGGCTAATACAACTTCAGCCAGGTAAGCATACACAGACACACATTTTCAACAATATATCGTTAAGAGTTAAACGCAAAGGCAAATATGTGTCCTTTCATCAGATAGCATAATGAAAACAAGCTTTAACACCGACATGCGTGGTTATAGCTAAGACATCTGACATTAGCATCTTCCTGCTAAAGTCAAAGTAAGCAACTGGAGCTGTTTCTCTTCAACACGCACGCAAACAATCAATGAGCTTTAATTAAACATTGTTTAAGGATAGTTAAATGCATTTGTGGTGACTGAGTTTATCAGACTTACGACTTTTCAACCCGCACGTGTCTCCTGTTTTCAGATGTAGACGAACTTTCAACTTTCACCCTGCAGGCTAGGCACGAGCAATCGATTGACGATTTAAAGAGGCAGTATTAAAAAGTAATTATTCAAGAATGAAAAGTAGATTAAATGTGACTCCCTTTTCTTTTTATAATTAATTAAGTGACGTATTTTATTTGTTTCTTTCTTATTGTTTTCCAGATACAGTACCATTTACTTCACACTGGAAGAAGATGAACTACAGAAAAGTTACCCAAGGGAGAGATGTGTAGTTTGATCAACTGAAGCTACTTAGAAAAAGTAATCCAAACAACGAAAAATACATATAAAAAAGGTTTAAAATAGTAATTTCACTACATAAATGTCAATATATCGTTATTAATTCTGTAAATGTATATTGTTTATTCAATAAATAAACTTTTCTACTGTTGATCTATTTTTATCGACATGCTGCTGTGACAAAAATAAATTCCCAAATTGTGTTCAATAACTATAAATATCAATATCTGATCTAATTTATTATATTAGATTGATAACTACTTAGACACTGGTGCAACACGGAGTTAAACTCCTTAAACTGCTTCTAAATTATAGGGAAAAAACACCGAATATTTACTATAAACAAGTGTGTCTGTAGTTTTCCCTCTGGCATGATTGAATGCATGTTTTGCTGTATTTCTATTGTAAAAATGTGTGAGTAGATGGAATTTGCTCAACCAAGTAAAACAAAAAGAGAAGTTCCATAAACACTAGGCATTGGTGATCTGTGCTCGCTTGGTTGTGCCTGGGAAAGTTTGCTTGGATCGTCAGCCATTGAATTCAACCGTCGGTCGAGGAGGAGGAATCGTGAATACATGAGAACCAAACCAGGGTCACCTTTCTGGTTTTTACCCATTTAGACTCTTTCTAGGAAAACAAGCTGTGTTTCTCAGAGTGGATGTGGTGCTAGTCGTTCTTCGGTAGCTTCTGTTTCCACTTGGCCCGCCTGTCAAGCTACATATTGAGCGACATATGAGAGTGACAGCAGGGTGTTGTTAGCTGCTCGGTGATAATAAGAGATAACCCGGGGCTGTCAGGCGCAGATAAAACGCACAATAACGGTTAAAACTCGAGGATGTAGCGGGGAGAGGCGCTACAACTGAACACTATGGATACGGTGCGTTGACCTACCGACTTGGGGACTAACCATGCTTCTACAAGTGGACTTACTCAACAACAAACACCTGGACTCCATTTATCACTGATTTACTAACTAGGAAAATACTCTTTTTTTTTTGGAGCTTGTATTAACAGTTAAACTCAGACGATGCGGCTTTTAAACCGCATGTCAAGGTGCTCTCATGGAGTATCCAAATTCAAGCTAACACAGCCGAGGATGTTGTGGCTGGATCACCGGCTAACTCTCTCAGCCGCCCCCCGGAGGAAGAGGCAGTTTACCGGGGTCAAGTCCTCAGCCCACCCGGCCTTCCCTCTCTGCTCCCCGGGGCTCTTCGTGTCCGTCCTGCCCTGCAGTCCCCTCAGAGGTCTCTCCATTCTCTGTCCACACACACGGACAGTCACACACACACATGTTGCCTTTGCCAGCTCTTCGGCCGCCTCCACACCGACACCAGCCGGACAAGTGAAGACCCAGGCGGACACAGAGGGCGAACAGACCTCCACCACGGTCCCTCTGGAGGATGTGAAAAGGATTTTGAAACTAGCTCACCCGGAGAGATGGAAACTGGCAGGTCGGTATACTGAGAATCCACTTATACTTACCTGTAAAACTAGCCCTACCACACTGTAGAAATACTCAGTTACAAGCAGTGCTGGAATGTCATAAAGTACATTTACTTAAGTAGGCCTAGTTAATAGTTTTAAAATGTTAACAATGGTTAAGAATAAGTGGAGAGTGTCTGCACATTTGGTACTTAAAACTAAACTTTTAGTATTTTACTAAAAAATCTATTCACTGTTGTCAGTCCAATACAGATGTTGGAGCTTAAATCCAGTGTGAATACACAGTGAAACTCTTCAGTGTTTCCATTCTTGTATTTGCTATCTAGATGTGAGTCGCCTAAATATAGGAGGGAATGTGTGCAAGGCTAAACAAATTTAAACATAATTGATATGACCATACAGGAGAAATATTTGTTTTTAATCCGCACAGGAATAACTAATGATCTCTTCTTGTTCCACCTGGTTTTGTTTACAAATATTGTTTTTGTTTTCATATTTTTAAGGAAATGTAAAAACCAAAGCAGTACAAGATCAAAGTATAACCATATGAGAAATATACACTTTGTTTTGTTGACACCGGAGGTACAGCAATATTAAACAAAAACAAAAATGGCAGTCACTTCAGAAAACCTTGCTGTGTCCCTATGAGGAAACAAGCCTCCCTGCCATATTTGCGAGATGCATTGTATCCTGACCTTAAGAGATAGGTTTTCCCAGATAAGAAATGTCTACATTAAGTCAAACTGTATTCATCACCTGGCACAGGCTGCTAGTATCGGCTATCATACTCTCAAGGTTGGAAAAACCCCTTCAAGTATCTTTCATCGGGTTTTACATGGTAACCCTTTTAAAACATGAAGATACACCTTCCTATTATACATTGTAGCCCTGGGTTTTGCTTTCTACAATCGTTTATTTTAATTTTATTTATCTGTCATACTGTCTTTTCCTGTTCCCACCTCAGCTGCTCTTGGCTTCCTGACTGTATCCAGTGGAGTTACCATGTCAGCCCCATTCCTCCTGGGTAAAGTGATTGACACCATTTATACTGCTGGAGCAGACACAGAGACAATGACCGCCTCCCTCACATCATTATGTATCATGATGACGGGGGTGTTCCTCTGTGGAGGGGCTGCCAACGCTGCCAGAGTCTACCTCATGCAGACATCAGGTGAGAAAGAGAGCCAAATACTCTACAGAGACACATGTTCACTCACAAGATCACTACAGGGTTCATCCAGCCAGCACTAAATGAAAACTCACTGATGTCCGCATTAATGAGCTGATGCCAGGAATAAGAAGAAGAAGAATATTTATGGTCCTCAAATGTGGAAATATGCCTTCTGCTTCAATGGTTGGTTGAACACATCATAGTGAATCAGAACACATACAATAAATAACACAACATGCACAGACGACAATAACATGGACATGGTGTCAATGGGAATGCTGTTTACAAATGTAGCAGTTATTGCATTTGGTATGAATGACTCTAATAAATGTGTATTGTTGCTTCAGGGGCTGTATAGTATAGTATAGGGTCTAAACCATCACAAACAATTTGTCAGGTTCTTGTGTCATCAGTTTTTATGAACATGTCCCAGTTCCTATAGTGCCACTTCACATGTTAAAAGTGCCTGTTGTTATTTTTTCACAAATGTTATTTAATATGTGCAACTATCCACATTTATTAAAGGTGGGGTAGGTCATTTTGGAGAAACCAGCTTGAGTGCGCTAGAATTTGAAAATACACAGCCGGAACAAATCTGCCACTTCCTTACAGAGCCCCTCCTCCAACACACACGAACGCGCACATGACCAATGAGGGCACGAGATAAGTTTGTGCACAGGTGGTACGCTGACAGGCAGGTAGGCCATCCAGTTACTTTAGCCGGGCCGGCTAAAATGATTGGTCGTGCTTTTTACAGTACTACGGCTTCCACGGATGATATTTCTTTATGGATTTTTTGTCAAAGCACTTAAGATATTCATTGCTATCGGGATGTTAAGAGCATTCCATGGAATATAACAAAAAGTGTATCTCGAGCCGGTTTCTCAAACTTACCTACCCCACCTTTAAGCTGTGAGTAACACAATTATTATTTTGACGGAAGTATTAGTGAATCAAGTGACAGTGACGTGTCTCTTTGCAACAGTCTCCTATCTTTATCTTCCTCACTAATGTCTATTGTCTTCTCTTTTCAGGCCAACAGATTGTTCGTAATCTCCGTGCCTCCCTCTTCTCCTCCATCCTCAGACAGGAAGTGGCTTTTTTTGACAGGAATAGGACCGGAGAGCTTATCAACCGCCTCTCTGCTGACACGGCCGTGGTGGGCCGCTCCATCACCGACAACCTGTCCGACGGGCTGAGAGCCGTTGCCCAGGCCGCCGCTGGAGTCAGTATGATGGTGAGTGTAACCCTCCGGGGGTCTGCTGTGGGCGGGCAGGGCAGATTTGAATAAGGAATGAATGTTTCCTTTATGATACATTGATCGTTTGAAATCAATGTTTGAGATATTGTGTAACTAGAGGGTCTAAAAAACTTTAGTTGCAAGCACCAACAGTCTTTCTTGCTATTGATCCTCTGAAGCCCAAGCCGTTTTAAAGATCACCTATTGTGCCAAATCCACTTTTTCATGTCTCTTATAAATAACCATGTGTCCCCTCTGTGTAAAGACATTCTGAACGTTTCAGGAAAAAAGATTCTCTCTTTTTGTCCTGATCCATTTATATAAAAACCTGTCTGAAAATGAGCTGATCAGATTTTGGCCACTTTATGATGTCATAACGATGTTTTGGCTTGTGTAACCATTAGCCAATCACCAACCAAGGTAACCCCCCCCCCACCTTATCACCTGCATCTCCTCCTAGAGCACCATTGTGTTCTTTTTAACCAAATATCTCTCAGAGGGGCGTGGGGAGGGGCTCCTTATTTTCATCTAAAGTAACAGACAGAGAATCAGCACTTTTAAAACAAGGCTGAAACAGAGAGGATTATGGGTAATGCTGCAATGATCTGTTTGGTATTTGGAGCCAAACACTTCAGAGACATGTTTTGTATATTTCTGAGACCTGTAATATATTGATGAGAACCAGTATAATAGGGGACCTTTAACGAGTTGGTGACACCTATGGAAACAGCACAATTATAGCTACAATTAGGAATAATTCAAATATGCCTTGAGTTGAGTATAATACAGTTATAATGCCATAAATATTACATTTAAAAAATATATATAAAACAAAGGTTACATTTATTTAATAATATGTTTTGCTGAGGAAGGCACAATTAAATTATCTGATTAGTGCGAATGGTATATACGGTAGTTGTTTTTCAGTACAGGGACATAAGGGATTTCAAATGCATTTCTTTGGGGTTTTGACTGAAATCTGGACTTCTGGAATATGTGATGGCCATTTTTCACTATTCACTGACAGTTTACAGACATAACCATTCACTGAAACACACCCAGCAGACTAATCCATCATCAAAATAACCCTTAGTCTCAGTTCTACTGCAGAGTAAGGTGTCTGAATGTAGAGTTATGTTGTTCAGTACAAAGAAATAGTTGTTATGTCTTTGGTGTCTTTTTCCATGTCTTCCTTTCTGTTCTGAGCTGTTGGGAAACATCTTTACAGATTTACTTATTTTCAAAGACACAGTCTATTGACTGCAGTGGCGAACCGTCAGGGCCTTCAAGGTATTCAGAGAATACCCTGAAACACTCAGATAAAACAAACAAAAAATCGATTTAATTATATAAATAAAATGAATAAATGAGAATCGTATCTGTGTTGTTGATCTGTAATATCACAGTGTTACGTTGATTTGTTTGTCCTTCTCGGACCATGCACTACGCATTTCAGTGGTTTTGTGTTAGAAAAGAAAGCAACCAATCAGATCTTGTTCTGGGTCTCTGGGTAGAATATCCTTCAACAAGGTATTCCACATCCTTGATCGAATGCCCTGGCCGTTGCACTGAATGAGAGCGTACGTTCGGACTGACAGTTTGATCAACCAATCATATATTGATTTGTAGCCAATGGGCGTGTTCTTTCAGTGTTCCCCTCGGTTCCAGGGTAGGCCTACTCTAGAAGGCCCGCTAGTTAACTGGCTCGAGACAGAGGATCTAGATGAATGCGACGAAGCAATTCATGCCGTTTTATTGTTTTTAACGTTGAAATGACAAGTGCAACAGGTGAAGATGAAGTTGTTGCGGAATTGTTGTGAGTAGGCTACCCTTTTCAAGACGACAATTCAGTGAAAAGACGGACATTATAATGCGGCGGAGGGGGGGGGGGCGGCGGCGGCAGGGGGTGTGTGTGTCTACAGAAGGTCCAGTTGTGATGGACACGGTTCGCCACTGATTGACTGACGGCCACACCCAGAGGCACAAAGCATTGTGTAAAAGGTCACTTACCTGTAAACTCACACAGTTCAACTGATGATATTTCCTGGGCTTTCATCTAAATGACGCTCATGTGACGACGTTCTGTCCCCAGTTTCACTTTCATTATCTCTTCTTTGTCAGTGATGTGAGATTTGTTGTTCAACAGGTCCGTTAACTTCCTTCTATCTGTACTTTCCCGAACAGAAAACGATATAACAATGCAAGCTCATGACTAACAGTCAATCACAAGGAAGTAAAATGATTTGCTGGTATAACGAACGTTCAAGGAAATGAATGAAAGTATTTGCTGTAATTACTGATTAGGATAGTTTGGTGCAACATTTTCCTTCTGTCTTCCTCCTCTGCTTCCCTCCTCCCCTCCTCCCTCCCACTTCTGACTTACCTTACCCATCCTTTACATTAACTTCTGTTTTTTCTTCTTTCTCCTCCTATAGTTTTATGTCTCTCCCAGTCTTGCAAGTTTCGTGTTGCTGATTGTTCCTCCTCTGGCTGCTCTTGCTGTGGTTTATGGCAGATACCTTCGCTCCATCTCCAAAAGCACACAGGACGCACTCGCACAAGCCACAGAGGTACAGTGCACAGAAACACAGAGCACATTTGTTATTTATTTCTTTGTATTTAACAGTTTCATAATGAAATGTTTGGTGTTCGTTGTTGTCAGATGTTCTACAGCGCTAAAAAATAAGACATTATTTGAGGATGTGGTAAATAAGAACAAGGAAGCTGTGACAAAATGTGATTGCAAATGTGTTGTCAATAAACCAAGTTCATCTACCTTTTGTATAAGTTCAGTGAAGTTCTATTCTGTAAACATGGCTTCATATTATTGGTTAGTGAAGCTATACTGTTTTTCTATTCTTGACTTTTATGTCCATCTGATTAATGTTGCACTGCCTGGGGCATCTTAATTAAATGTGCAGATTCTCTGAAAATGAGTTCTAACAGATAAAGTTGTAATAAATGTTTTGCCCGTGTGTGTAGTTGGCAGAGGAGCGTATCAGCAACATGCGGACAGTCAGGGCTTTTGGCAAAGAGCTGTCTGAGGTCAACACATACACAGAGAAGACAGACCAGGTCCTCAAGCTGGCCAGGAAGGAAGCTGTACTACGGGCTGGCTTCTTTGGAGTGGTAAGTGTGTGTGTGCATCTGTGTGTTTCCTGTCAGTGAAGCAAACCAAATCCACAGTTAGGATATGAAATATTGCACAGGGGCTTCTGCTTTTTTGCACCTGTTTCGTCACGACACCACAGTACCTGACACTTATGTTAATGACAGATGTTAAACCACCAAGAAGCATCATCCAATCCTCCGTACACGGTCAGAGTGTCTGCTGTCGCACCGCCTGACTACAGAGCAGCTTCTTTCCTCATGCTGTGCGAATCATCCTCCGCACTCCACTACAAATCAAAATGTCCAATGAATGTAATAATCACTAAATCATCTAAACACTGAGAACGATAACCTACAGTATGATAAGGTATCAATTGTGGGCTTTTGTATTGGACAAGGTTTAGTTAGGCATCTCTGATAAACTGGCATTTCAATCTGATAAAGAAATAAGCTCTTTGTGAATGATATAATTCTCCCTGCATTTCCTGTTTCTCTAGTTCAGATGTTATCAGGTACATACTAATCTCCAACAGATGTTGGAATAATCAAATAACCAGAGGGTGTGTGTGTGCATGTGTGTTTCAGACCGGGCTCAGTGGGAACATCATGATCCTGTCAGTGCTCTACAAGGGAGGCCTGCTGATGGCCAGCCAGCACATGACTGTGGGGGAGCTGTCAGCCTTCCTCATGTACACCTTCTGGGTGGGCATCAGTATTGCAGGTAATACACACATAAGGAGACCATTAGCACTTGTTTATCCTCATCTGTAATGTTAACATCAGTGTGAAATGTGTGTGTGTGACGGCTTGTGTCTCATTGTTCTTCTGCTTCATCTACAGGTCTGAGTTCCTTCTACTCTGAGCTGATGAAAGGATTCGGAGCAGGATCTAGACTGTGGGAGCTGCTGGACCGAAAACCAGAGTTTCCTCTTAATGGTTAGCAAACACACACACACACACACACACACACACACACACACACACACACACACACACACACACACACACACACACACACACACACACACACACACACACACACACACACACACACACACACACACACACACACTGGAGGCTTTTGGTTTAGTTTGTTCCTACATTGCACACATAGGTGAGTGACGAGCGTTAGAATTGTAGTTTAAACATTGTGCAGAAGAAGTAAGAAGCAAAAGGACCTTAACATCAATAACCATCCTTTACCTTTTAGAAAGAAATAACAAATTCGAAAGATTGTTTTGCAATTCAGTTTCAAGAAAAATAAAAGTATAGAATAAAAAAAATCTAAAAGTTTATAGGTTAAAGTCAATATAGTGTGATCAATCTAACTAATGTCTATTTCCGATGTTCTTTAAATCACGATAATATCTACATTTAGTTAAATATTAACATCAAATAATCTACTTTTCTTCCCGTTTGATTTTATTTATTTTCTCCTCATTTCCCCCTTTTATTGTATGCCTGTATTAAACCAGTGGAGTACGATACATATTGGTTCTCTCTTTGTGTCTGTGCTCCTCCTCAGAGGGTCTCATGCTCTCTGCAGACCAGCTGAAAGGGCGGTTGGAGTTCTCTGAGGTCTCCTTTGCCTACCCGACCCGCACTGAGGCCCCTATCTTCCAGGACCTCAGCCTGCTGGTCCCCGCGGGCACCGTCATGGCCGTGGTGGGACCCAGCGGCTCGGGGAAATCCACCCTGGTGTCCCTGCTGCTCCGGCTGTACGACTGCAACTCTGGTGAGAATTATTGGTCTGTCTAATATGTAATCGGACGTCTTGAAAAATCTGTTGATGACAAACTTAAAGTACAAGCCTCTGTCAGATGGCTGTTTAAACTTTTACAAAATAACCCATTTTCTCCAGGTACTATAACAATCGATGGTCACGACATCAGAGATCTGAATCCCTATTGGCTCAGGAGTCACATTGGAACTGTCAGCCAGGTAATAAGCTAAACTTTAAAGGTATAAAATATAACGTTTCTTCATTAAAAAGTCTAAAAATGACTAAACTAAAATCTTATATATTTATTAGAGCTGCGAACTTACATTATCCTAAATGTCTACAACAATTTCCAAAGCTAGATAATTTTTGTAATGCTCGTATTGTATCCCTTTTGTGTATGGCAGCGTTATGGTTGTCTGGTAGAAGCGGTCGTTGACTTTTTGTCCAGTTTTAAGTCATATTTTTGCAATACAGTTATTAGATCTGGGATTTAGCTAATTATGTGTTTCCTTAATCAAATACTTTAGTCATCAAACTATCTAGATCTTAAAATATCAGAAAAGAAGGCTTTAGCCGGAGTCCAACAGGGTGAGAGAAACTGAGATCTTTTCAATTTAATAACTTTATTTTTATTTTTTAACCTGTTTTGTTCACCAATTGTTTTAGAGAGGTGAAAGCCGCTCCCAGTAAATGATCCCACGCTACTTCATGACTTTACGAGCTTCCTCTTTTGTTATTGTTATGATTAAGAGTCCCCTATCAACAGAAAATCACTTATTCGCATTTAACTAGCCAGTTCCTATACAACAGATCTGACAGCTCACGCATAATCTGAGCATAATGTGCATTTCTATTAACTTCAAATCAATCAAATATTGAGTGAAGTTTGTCTCCCTGCTTGTCTCCCAGGAGCCCGTGCTGTTTTCCTACTCTATAAGAGATAATATAGCTTACGGTGCAGTGGACCCAGAAGCTGTGACCACAGAGGAAATCTACGGGGCAGCAAGAGCCGCCAACGCCTTCAACTTCATCCAGGATTTCCCCAACGGCTTCAACACTGTGGTGGGGGAGAAGGGGGTGCTGCTGTCAGGTGAGAAACAACACAGAGGTGTGATCACAACAACGACACAACTGAAGATGTTGAAAGCAGGCAGCTGGGTTAATGATACCAAAGATGACATACCACCTTCCCTAAAGAGGCTTTACCTGGCTGCCATTGTACATACAATTGCAAATGTGTACATGTTCAATTATGGTAAGGGTTCTTTATTCCTTTTTTTCAAAGGGTTATTTCAATTCAATACTGCTTTTATATTAACTGTAATTTGCAATATTTTTAGTTGTTTTACATTTTAGAAAGACTGGTCCATTTAATGTTTCCAAGTCTAAAAGGTATTTAGCAAGTTTTTTTAACCCCAAGTTAAAGGTGGGGTAGGTAATTCACTTCAGAAACACTTTTTGTTATATTCCATGGAATGCTCTTAACATCCCGATAGCAATGAATATATTAAATGCTTTGACAATAAATACATAAAAAATGTCATCTGTGGAAGCCGTAGTACTGTAAAAAGCACGACCAATCATTTGAGCCGGCCCGGCTAAAGTAACTGGATGGCCTATCTGCCTGTCAGCCTTCCATCTGTGCACAAACTTATCTCGTGCCCTGATTGGTCATGTTCGTGTGTGTTGGAGGAGGGGCTCTATAAGGAAGTCTGAAGGAAGGGGCTGATTAGCTTCGCACTTTCAAATTCTAGCACACTCGAGCTGGTTTCTCCATTCTTACCTACCCTACCTTTAAGTTCACTTTTTTTTTTTTTTCATAAAAGTTGTTCTCCAACTTCAAAACATTTTTAGAAAAAAGAAAAAACATGTTTTAGTCGAGGCTTTTCGCATACATTTGACACAGAGCACCTATACATCTCAGAGGTGCCCAGTACGTCGACCGCGGGCGACCGGTCGACCGCGGGGGCAATGCTGGTAGATCGCGAGTCATTCATAAAAAAAATCCTGTTCCGTTAAAATAGACTAAACAGGTTTTGATCCCTCCTCCCTTGGCCTCCCTGACACTTAATTCATGAGTTTACTTGATTGACAGAAAAAGCGACCTATCGCTTTCCAGTCTGTTAACCCAGAATGCAAAGCGATACAAAATCAGTCAAGTGCCGGGAACAAGAGAAACAACAAAATGACTGCGGGACCGAGCAAGAAGCTAAAGACAAACCACTTCCACCCAGAATGGGAGGAAGAATATTTGTTTGTGATGTCACATTCAAAGGTTATTTGCCTTATTTTAAAGCAAGCGTCGCTCTGCCAAAGAAAGGTAACGTGGAGAGGCATTATCGGAGTGTTCACAAGGCATATGACAGCGACTTCCCTCCGAGTAGCGAGTTGAGAAAGAGAAAGGTCATGTATTATTGCTACACAAATATTATCTCGCAGTCTTAGTGTCGCCAACTCGTTTCTAACATGCAAAAAGACAAACAAATGCGTCAATGGTCGGTGTATTTTCGACCTTTCTGATCCAGACGAGATCTCTCCCCCGTCTGTGTGCCAGGGGGCGGGGCAGTTTACACACACGCAGCTGCTCCATGCAGCAACACATGGTGGGGATGGCGGAGAGAAGCGCTCCAAGGTGTGGTTAAATGTTACCCGTCTTGAGGCGGACAATGCTCCTTGCCAAGAGTGTTTAGCATGTAAGGGCGGGAACACGAGCAATTTGTCTAAGGTTCATTTAGCAAAAGTGCACCACATTCAGACGGAGGAATGCACCGGGTTCGACTGTCTTTCTAGTAGCTCTGTAGCCCCATCCACGAGTAACGTTTCCACGTCAGGTCTTACTATGTATGCTAGCAGCAACACACGGAGTTAACACAATGATTCAAACATGGGTTAATGATTAGAGGAAACTGAGTTACTCTTTTGTTAAAGTTTCAGCTATTCTGTTTACAGTTCTGTCATCAGATTATTTAATACGATTTACGATTGTTGTTTCTTTTGATGTGAAATATTATTTAAATAAAAAGCAATGTTAATTTTGTAAACAATTTGTTAATTTAATAATATATGTATTTTTGAATCAAGTATTAATCTTTATTGTCTTCATTGTTAGTTTCCACATGCCTAAAACAACCTCAAGCTAAATCTAAAAGTTGATGGCTAAATAAGAGCGTTTGAGAAATTGTGCAAGGCATACAGTAATAGTCTGAATAGTCGATTAGTCGTTTCATTAATCGATAGATTAATCGATTATCAAATTAGTCGTTTGTTGCAGCCCTATTATCCCATGTATAAATAAAACGTGTTATTCAGCAACCCTTGCAATTTGGGATTTTATTTTTGGTTGGTAGACCTCGGTGAGCTGGTCATTTCAAAAGTAGCTCACCAGCCAAAAAAGTGTGGGCACCCCTGATCTACAGCCTTTGTGTACAAGGTTAACTTGTGTTTGTTTCTCAGGTGGTCAGAAGCAGAGGATAGCCATAGCCAGGGCTCTGCTCAAGGTGAGTACAACAACATGACTGTTTAACCACATCTGAAGAAAGACACTAGTCCCGTCATACAACCAGTCACATGCACTTAACATTCGTTATCCTTTAACCCGGCCTGATTGTTACCGTCAGTGCTCACTGACTGTTATCATCCACAAGGGACCCGTGGTTCTATTTTTAGATCTAAAACTATTTAAATTGATGAATAGCAGCACGAGTAAGGGGGAAATGTGTGTGGTTAATTTTGAAGTGAGCTTTCACTTTTTAAAATGTGAAGTTGAACCAGGATCTACACACTTCCTGTTGTTGTGTGCATCCTTAATCCTTTCTCCCATTTGTGTTCTCTTTTTACAGAATCCTAAGATCCTGCTGTTAGATGAGGCTACCAGGTAAGAAAGACAATAAACAAACAATACTTTCACTATCGTTATAACTCTTGCATTAGTTTACCTTTTATATGATAATATTCCTGCCTTTAGAAACTGTTTTTTATTTTTGCTTGTTACAAATACATCTTAGTTTAATTTGTTGAAGACAACCCTAAACGACCATCTTTCTTTAGTGCATTGGATGCTGAGAATGAGTTCCTGGTCCAGGAGGCGTTGGAGCGTCTGATGACAGGTAGATCTCTCTCCTGTTCAATTGTTTTCATTTCAGAATAAAGTTACAATCCCAGGGTTTCCGCGGGGTCTTAAAAAGTATTAAAAGTTGATAAATCAATTTAGCGAAAATGAAGGCTATTAAAAAGTATTAAACGTCATTTTCCAAGGTATTACATTTTGTAGCTTGTTTTCAATACGTATATCAATAGTCCAAAGAGGTTGTATTCTACAGTCTGCCTGAATGTAATCATTGCGTAGGTGTGTGGTGTGATTCTGTGTAGTTTATTTATGGCATCCCGTTGGGTTTGACGTAATCTGAACAGGACATCGCACGCTCACTGCTTGATAGCGCGAAGGTCCGTTTACGCCGGTTGTTAAACAACATCGTTATGGGGAAATGCAAGTCTGCGTCCAAATGGTTGGAAGATAAGGAGGAAGGACAATCAATACTGTATATAGTAAATGTGAGGTAAAGTGTGTCGCCAAGGTAACCGGTTAAAACTTGAAGTGGCGATGGGGTCTTAAAATGTGTGGAAAGGGTCTTAAAAAAGGTCTTAAAAGGTATTACATCCGATTTCAGGATTCCTGATATACCCTGAATCCTCTGTCTACTGGCACACTAAAGCCACTTTGTGTCTCTCTTGACTAATTTTGTTCCTCGCCCAATCAACAGGGAGGACGGTCGTGATCATCGCTCACCGTCTGTCCACCATCCAGAACGCTAACGCCGTGGCTGTTCTGGACCAGCGGCGTATCGCAGAGTGTGGCCAGCACACAGAGCTGCTAGGCAACAGGCAAGGACTGTTCAGAAAGCTGATGGAGAAGCAGGCGTTTCTACAGGTGAAGCAGAAACGTGCCCTCCGCTGAGAGGACAGTGAGTAGTAGGAGACGAGGAAGAGGGAAAATCCTCAGGCGAGGTCAGTGCCTGGGGAAATAAGTGGCTTTGCCCCAGAGGCGATGGGGCAGAGGGGAAAAAAGGATATTGCCTGGAATTAATAGAGATGGAGAAAATAAATGAAGAAAACACTTCAGATGAACACTAGAGACAAAGATAGAAAACCACTAAGAAACATTTAAGGGATTTCTTAAATGCTGCAAGAGTCTTTTCACTGCTGAAGAAACTATAAAGCGCCACAGGAGGAAAGGAATCGGACAGGGTAATTCACAGCGAAGACCTAAGAACTGAAACATGGATCAGCGAGCTTATACAGATGCTTTATTTTGAATATATATAATACTACACTGAGGTCTAAATGAGAGAGGAGAGGAGACATAATGAAGACAGACTCTCCTCACAAATGTCATTCATCACTTTCACCATAGTTTTGGGACATGCATATAGTTGCTGAATGTTAATGTGACAGATCTGACTTTCACTCTCTCTGCTTTTTTTACTAGTCTGTTATCACTTCATGATTTTCAAACCAAAAACAGTTCAGTATCATCCTTACATAACTGCTAAATGTTTTTATGTGTCTACATATTATGGATTTTAAAACTTGAAGCTTACACGCAGAGCCTTTTGGTAGTCATTTCTTTGTGTAAACGAACTAAATGAAGCACCTATGTGAACACTATAAGGACTTTTATAAATGTATGCACATTCACCATGAAAAGATTATTAAGGATTGTGCTTAAATTCCAGCTAAGTGGCGTACATCTAAATCAAGGATTTTGTCTCATTTAATCATATGTTAGGATTTGTTTGACAATATGTTTGGATTAAACATTTGTCTTGCTTTGTTTTAAAGGGATAATTCGCATTGCTTAAAGTGTTGTTGGTACTTATCCATTGTCAGGTTATTACCTACAGTGGATTATGGGCGGCACACTCATAGTTTGGAGAATCAGACACAGACTTGGAAGCAAAGGTATGTAGTGCAGACAGGGGCAGCAGCTAAATGTATTTCACACAATAACATGAACTCACTTACTGGTCCAGGCAGCAGTAGACCAACCCACATGTTCTTTTTCAAAGCACTAGGTAGCCTATCAGAGAACATAGATAACAGGGGGCTGTCTGACAAAAGTAAAGCCGTGACGTATTCTATATATAACGCACACTTAAACAAATATTGTTTTTTTTTAGCTGGGCCTTTCTGAGTGGCTATGATACTGTGTGTTTTGCTGTTGCCCTCCGTCCAAAGCAGTGTCTCCCATCACTCTAGCGCTGTTTGGCTCTTTAAACTGGTTGCCTGTCGTCTACCATCTGCTGTGGGTCATACACTGACTTTGGATAAGTACCTCAACAACCGCTCTTAAAAAAAGCTAAACAATCCCTTTTCAGTGACAGCCCTGAAACTGCTAAACTTAACCGTCTTTAGATGTCAAGATCAAATGTGTACTTTGGGAAGTTCATAGAAGTCTGTTAAACCGCCTCTTTTCTGGTAGAGGTGTTGCTGTTCTTGGGGACGAAGGGTGAGCACATAAGAGACATGTCATTCAAATCAGAGGTGGTCTATGTGCCATAATCACTCCTCTCTTAACAATTATCTCATTATCTAAAGCCCCTAATCCCTTCATCTTTTATTGTCTCCAGTAATCCTAGTCAGCTTTCTCTGTCCAATATATTAATGGTGGAAAAACAGAAACCAACGTAATAAAAACATTAGACTCCACTCTGTCCGCTGCTCGGTGTTTACAGGATGTGCACTTGGCCGGCATTAGATTTTATGTAAACAGCCCTCTAACCAAGCACACGTTAGCCACAGCGCTGTGGAGCCAGCTGTAATATTTAGCTGGCTTTAAGGGCTTGACTCAGAAGTAATGATTCTCCTCAGTAAATATTTGTATGTTAACAGCCCACTTCACCGCTCAGGGGGAGTCTGGCCGAGTGCTTAAAGTTCCCAACAGTTTTTAAAGTGACTGTGGAATGGTGTTTTGAAGACCACGAACCCCGTTATCCAACGATTGAATTCATTTCTGTGATGAAAACTAAATGAAATTGTTATTTTGGATCGGATTATTATCTCAAGGGAAAAATTCCTGTTAAGTGTGTTATTGTTAATCATTCCAAAATCCAAGAGGAAACTCATCTCTGATTCCACATTCAAAGGAAAACATTTGCTCAGAAACCATCCAATCTGCAAAACTTCCTTCAGTTACAGACAGTGTTTACTGGTTTGGGTTAACTGCAGTTATTCCATGGCTCAAACGTTTTTATTTTCTTCTCAAATGACAAGACTGCAACCTGTGTGATTTTCCGTTCTTTTGTTTGACAGAGGTTAGAAACTTGAATCATTGTGAACGTTTCTTCATTTTCAAGATTTGAAGGCAGTGATGTGTAATATTCAAACAATGGATACATGAATACATTGATCATTGGTAACGATCCAATTGGCCATATACATGCTTACTAACGTGTGATAGTAATCGCTCTCTGGATGTATACATGTAGAGTTTTATATATGTATTACACTGTGGCAGCAACGTGTGATCTCTGTTAACTATGGATAGTTTTCATGTTTTTTCTTTTGGCCATGACGCTTATTATTTCGCCTCAAAGTAAAGTATTTCTTATTTACTTGACTTGCAATAGATTTACTCCCAACATGTTAGTCTTCTTTAAATTAAATTATATTTTGATATGATGCCTTTATCATTGTGTGTGAACATCACAGGTCCAGACTTGTGTTGTGGTTCTTGTGGAAATGTGTTTGTTATATCACCATACCCTGCACATTCAAATTAAATAATGCTTTAACATGCTTTGTTAAAAATCACTCACTCCGTAAAGTAAACCCTGACGATGCTTGAACAAATGAATGATGGATCCATGTCGTTTAAATAATCACAGAAGACTCAAAGGTTGTTTTTTCAACTTGTATAAGTTATAAATAATATGTCCGAAATGATGTATGAAAGTTTTTTTTTATTATTGTGTTTGTAAATTATTCTACCTCTATGTAAAGGTAAATAAAGTGAGATATGAATAGTTTTATTAATGGAGAGATCTGTGTTGTTTATGTGGGTGTTTGTTTGTAATCCATCTGTTTAGACTCATTCTGAATACACGAATACTGTTGTAAAGCACATTTTAAAAGCTTTTAACATGTATATTTAATTTATTGAATATTATATTCTATAAAAAAATGTCTAGGGGATTGGCCTATACCCATATAATAGTTTGTATTGTCTTTAAAAAAGCAGTAATATAATCGACTGAAATCATCACTCCCTTATTTAGCCACTTGTTATGGAAACAGGAGACACTAGAACAACCATCAGATAGATAGATAGATATGGATCATAGTCAAACACTACTATTTCTCCTTCGGTGTACATTAAATGTAATGACTTGTTCCATATCCCATTAACTTTTTTCAACTAACCGTTCCTTCAACACTGTGCCTTTGTCTCAGCTAACTGTGTCCAGCAGATGGCGCTGCTGCTCCACCAATGAGCTGCAGCCTGGCTCAGATCACTGCTGCTGCTCAGGTTGGTGAAATCAATGTTCATTCAATCCATCATACCAAAATAAAACGTCCTGGTACCGATGTGAGGTATGTGTGTTCAGCTGTTGTCAGGTTGTGTTGACAGCACGCTGAGCTCGTCATGCAAATAGACTCTGCACATTGTTCCACCTGCTAAACCATACACAATGCAATGCAATGTGAGTGTGTGTTGCCCTTATGTGGTAACGTAAGAGCAGTGGTGGAAAGTAACCTACTATATTTACTCAAGACTAAGGTTTTCATTTTCTACCTTGTACTTCTACTAAACTTTAATCCATATGCAAATATTGTCCTTTTTTAATCCACCACATTTCTCTCAAAAAGCATGGTACTGGTCTTTTTGTCTGTATGTTGCGATAGTATTACAAATGATTTACAAACTCATCATTTATGATGTATTAAGCTACCTTGCAGACTATAAAATAGTCCTTACTATACATACCCTTAGCAGCTGCAACATTAGGGAGACTTATACTTGTAAAGCATCAATAATTATAATGAATGATATTAATATATATTACAAGTATGAAATGGGCAATTCTGCATTATGAGTACTTTTACTTTGTACTTTTGTTTTTTATGCAATCTTTTACCTGTGAAATAGGATTTCTACTCGGAGGTATTCATTATTTTACTTAAGATAAAGATCTGAGTAGTTTTGCACCTTTGGGATTGATCAGGGTAACTCAAGTATAAGCAAATCCACCAATGTGAATAATTAAATGCAATGCTGTTTGTGAGATCCAAACAGTTCAGGCAGCAGAGGCAAAGCCATGCTGTAAAATACTGCTCAAAAATATCTTGTATCTATAGATTCGTTCATGGGTTCCATCCAAAGCCCTAAGGTGACAGTATACGGTAAAAATAATGTAATGTTAGCCTTATTGGTTAGATTATTTTCTCCACAACCCTTTTAGACAGCGTGATCTCTCTCTGTAAACCCTAACTAATGTCTCCTCATTCTTAAAGTGACAACAGGACCAACAGGCTCCAGCAGAGGCAGCAGTTGTGCTCCGACTGCAGCCCACCAGGTGCTGCTCGGCGCAGCGAGGGTCTCCAGTTCCAGCTCCATGTGCTGCCAGCTCCCCTCGCTTTCTCTGTATCTGCCCGAGCTATTTGAGGAACTACAGGGACTGTTGTTGGCTTGTCCCTTTAAAGAAACTCACATTCAAAGCCTTATTTATCCAAAGTTAAGATACCCAAAATAATGCATACAACTAGAAAAAGTATTCTAAAGTATAAGTCAATTTGGTGAAGCTCAACCGTGCCACAGCAGCATGGTTTGTTGAAGATCATGCAGAGGTTTACTGGTGCAGAGTCTTCAGTCCCACTGAAATCACTGTCTATCTGAGACGCACAACTTAGTTAAATGCAAATGCACTGCACAGGCACAACGGTATATTTAGTTTTCCTTTAAAAAGAAAGAAATGTCCACCTCTTGTTGTTCCTGTCCACCATTAAGCAGAAGGCCTTCAAATGAATTCAAATGGTTTTCTGTTTTTTAGATGTTCCAACTTTCTTGTTTAGCTCATCAGGAGCCTGAGAAAGCAGCATTAGAAAGCAGTGCTCACTTAGCAATTACTGATTTGTGCAGCATATCACTGACATGATGAGGCTAAACAGGAAGAGGAATATGTCCTGAAACTGGATGGGATCAAATCACATAATTAGTACACATTTCAGCAAGTTTGTCTCAAACAACAACAGTGTGAATGGAATGGAATGGACAACAGACTGAAAACAAACTTGGTAAAACTATCCCTAGAGCACTTTTTTACCTGTCCATTAACAATATCTCCAGTACCAGTATCCTCAGACTGTCTTCACTGTAACACCTGAGATAGAAAACTAATCTCCAACCATCCTCCTCCTGTCTGTTCTCGACATCCATCACAGGAGCCTCTGTCGTTGAGCACGCTGACACACTTAAAAAGGTAGGACACTCGTGTGCAGCAAGTGTATTGGTCCCAGCGATTGAATGCCGAGGCTTGTGCTATTCTTACACTTTGTCTGTCACTCTGACCCTCTGTGCTCTCCTGAGGGAGACAGGGAGAGAGTGTGTCGACTGAAAGGAAAGTCTAACTGAGTAGGCATCAAGGTAGAGTCTGAGCATGCTACAAGAAAATCAAACTCAGTTTATCTCACCCTCTCTACTTTTCTCCCTTCTCGCCCCCATTTCACTGGCTTAATACTACCATTATAAGTCATACATTAAAAAAAATACATCTAGGAAATACCACCAAAAATTCCTCTCCTTGTCCAAAGTCTCGTTCAGCTGGCAGGATTATCTTCTGACAAACTTAACTCATTTGTTCTGCCACCTGCTGCGTGCACATGCCCTTTCACCTCACTCTATCTCCTCCTCTTCCACTAGTAGACTTTCCTGGAGACTCCCAGGACTCTCCTCCCCCTCGGCCCCTCTGAACCCCCCCCCCACACACCTCCCCACCATGCCCGTCTGTCTCTCACTCCCTGACAACTGCCAACCCCTTTACATTTTAGGCGTTTCGCATGCCCCTGGATCCGAAATGGCTCACAACAAGTACATAAAAGTAGCTCTACCTTGCTCGGCAGCCCCTACACTCCCTAACCCCCTCCCACAACACACACATACGTACGTACACACCCCCCTTCATGCACAGAAACAATATTCATGGTAAACTTGCAGGGCCAATTAAGGAAATTGTACATGACTGCCCACCATGCCCCAATTAAATAGGTAGAGGATGCATACAGACTTTAATATGTTTGCCTATCATTATCTTCTATCTCCTTAAATCTGTGTTTACAAGTCTGATCAAACACTCTCAACTCATACTGGCGCTTTCTGTTGCATAGAGAGAATCCAGTTCTTGGAAGGTCCCATGTTAACATTTGTAGAATAAAAATAAGTACCAAAAAATAAGTACCAATAATTATGACTGGCAGTTTTTCATTCACATTTTTTTAATTGCTTAATTGTCTTTTTAGAACATGGAACATTAAATAACAAACATTGTTGAATAAAAGACTATAAAAAATATCTCTTTTAATGAACATAAAGTTCCAAAGATGTTGATTTTATTTTATTTTCCATTTTATCTCACCTCATGGCAACATTATCTGCTTGTGGCAAGGAGTCCCCAGTTATACCCATGTGTCATTATTATATGTTTGTTCCTATTTAATTGACAAAATCAGGCCTTTTTTTCTTTAAATTCACTTCCCCATGTTCCCACCATTCCTCACTTTTCTTTGAGTTTATTAAAAGTTCTACTTCCTCTTCCAATCCTTCTGTGTGTCATGCCACAACACACACAATCATATATGTGCATGCATGTACTGTACACACACTCCATTCCTCACTACATGTACACGTGAACTAGCTCCCTTCCTCCATGTAGAGTTATAATTAATCTAACTGCTCCAGTGACAGAGCAGAGTAGCCCCTGCAGATAATGTTTCAGCTGTTGGCTGTTTCCCTGCTAACCTCCATATTTATTAAATAAGATTTAGGCCGATGTGGATATCAGACCATGTGCTCAACAGAATAACAACATTTGAATTCATTATTAAAATTCTTCTTTTGGCTGTGCAAGTGTTAGATATTTAAGATAGGAATTCCAGCTTGCAATTTCTTGATGAGCAAACTCTTCTGGGCACAATCATAAACATTATTATTCTCTTTTGATCATAACATGTTATGTCACAATAAAATAGACAACACTCACCATTTTTTAATAAAACAAATGTGTTTTGTGTATGGCTCCATAATTGTCTCAAAGCAATGCAACCAGAGTTTATCAGGCTGCAGCATGTAATGCAATACATTACAAATACAAATAATGTACTTAAAATATTACTACTCAAATGATATGATTGTAATGGTGAATCAGCATATATTTTTTCTCATTATCGACCAATTGTTCATCCTCAGGTTTTGTTTTTTCTTTAAGTAATTATGTGTTATATTGTATTGATCACCATAATGGGAATTGAACTCATAATTGGCACTCCGATGCTGCGGCTAGGCTCCTGGTCGAGCTGTCAGTCAGGAGCCGGGTCCTGGCTCTCTCTGGGGTCTAATTCTGTTCAGATGAGTGCAGCATTTTCCCATTTTAAGGCTGGATGAGGACTACTAGCAGCTAATCTATAACTCTGGTTGGTAGCAACTGGCGTCTCCCCAAGAAAACCCCCACTGAACCGGGCGCTCCTTTTACGGCCCTCGAGGTGGGACCGCGAGTCTCGATGGGAGGTCAAAGCGACAGTTCCATATATGGCGCGCGCTCTCTCCTTCTCGGGAGCGCGCAGCGTAATACCGGACCCACTTCTCAATCCTAATGGATGGAGGTCCCTCCTTTGCTCTTCGGGGCGCGCCCCCCCCCCCGCACCTCACCCACGGCCTGTCAGTATCCTAATATGGCAGAGGGCCGGGAAGGGGGCCAGTCCTAAGGTTTGTGAATGGTGGAGGTTGGGTATATAAGCTGGACAGCTCGAAGGAAAGATTGTATCTGGTTCAGCAACAGTATTGGTTGGGTTATCCTTTCACTCGAGCCTCAGACACTCACCTAAGGTAAGACCCTGCTGGGACTCCTGAAGCCAAAGGTTGGGACTCAAGAGTAGGACTTAATACTGGAGCATCTACTGGAGCAGGAGTTTGGACGCTTAGGACTAGATACTACTGCAGGAACATGGGCAACTCCACTGTAGGACAGACTTGATGCTGAAGGAGAAGGGAAACAAATAATTTTAAATAGTTGTAAGGCTGACAACTTTCATAGAAAGACAGTGCTGGATAGGAGAAGCTGTTAACTATTAGGTCTGGAAATTGATAGATTTATTGAAAAGATAAATAATTATCGACGTCAGCATCTTTATAAGTGTAACACAAAAATGTGCTGATGCAGCAAGACACAATGTGCCTTTATATTAATTAAATTAACAGAATATATTTTACCTGGGACAGGTGATAATTAAACAGTGAGAATGTTTGTAAATTAATCTGAATTTCAGCACAAATTTGATTCGTTTTACCTTACAGCAAATTTGGAATACAATAGATACAGAGGATACTAGATATAGAGATACTTATCAAATTGAGATGCATGACTGAAGGAAAACAGTATAGTTCTGTATCACTTTAATGTGATTTTCTAGGTTTCTGCAGGCGTAAGCCCCATGCGTAATGGCCTGGTGTCAGTGTGCCATTGACACATTTAGCGCAAAGCATGGGCCTGATCATGTTCATGCTAGTGTCTGTTCCAATTACTTTCCAGTTAAACATATTTCTCCAGTAAAAAAATATAGCCTTTATAATTACATCTGGCCTAAGCTTGCAGGAAACAAAAGGGTGAACCAAGGAGTTCGTTCTGGGGTTATTACTGTCACATAGTAAATATCGCCATGAGGATTTGATTGAGTGAGCTCAACTGTTTTTCCCCCTCTCCTCTTACAGCAGCCAACATGTGTGACGACGAAGAAACAACCGCCCTTGTGTGCGACAACGGCTCCGGCCTTGTGAAGGCTGGCTTCGCCGGAGATGATGCCCCCAGGGCCGTCTTCCCCTCCATCGTTGGCCGCCCCCGTCACCAGGTAAAGAGCCGGGGATATCCCAAACAATAATAGGAGAATAAGTCGTAGTAAAAAGTAAAATTAATTCGGTTAATACTAATATAATAAATAAAAACAAGTTAGCCTTTCTTTCAGGCACTATTTCGGCAAATAATCTGGATTTAATAACAACTATTTGCCAGAAATTATCATATTTCTGAGTTATAATTTAGCCCTTTTGTCCAGTTAACAACTGTGAAGCCAAGAGCGTGGCATTATGTATCTTGAGTCATGTAAATGTGGCTCATACCACCAGCTGTACCACCAGCAATGTGGCCTTTGACACTTTGAGACTAAATTAGACACAGAAGAACTGACAGTCAAACAATTGCTCTGTGTCTTATGTCTCTGTGACCCACGCTGTTATTTGGCACATTTACGCAATGGCCAACGTTCCTTTTGCATCGCACAGTAAATACTTTAATCTGGCCATAAGAAGGTCATGTCTCTGTTTGTATTATTTGAAGTAACCTTTCCATCATCTTGCCCTCTCCTCCCCCTTAGGGTGTCATGGTCGGTATGGGTCAGAAGGACTCCTACGTCGGTGACGAGGCACAGAGCAAGAGAGGTATCCTGACTCTGAAGTACCCCATCGAGCACGGTATCATCACTAACTGGGATGATATGGAGAAGATCTGGCATCACACCTTCTACAATGAGCTGAGAGTGGCACCCGAGGAGCACCCCACCCTGCTCACAGAAGCCCCCCTGAACCCCAAGGCTAACAGAGAGAAGATGACCCAGATCATGTTTGAGACCTTCAACGTCCCAGCCATGTATGTGGCCATCCAGGCTGTGCTGTCCCTGTACGCTTCCGGTCGTACCACCGGTGAGACTGACAACAACAAACAGCTGCTACTCAACTCCATAAACATACACAATACAAAACAAAATATAATGTAACTGATAAAATAATATTACAATTGCAACACATACAACTAACTGAGTTATTCCACACTGTGCCCATTTTGCGCACAACTATTACAGAGAGTCGGCCAGCGTTTCTGGGACTGTCCTTATGCCTTACGCCCTCTGTGTATGTTTGTAAATCCTCTTTACACATTATTTATAACCACACTTTTACGCACACAACACTGAACTGTTGGATGATTATTGTCGCCCGAGTATTCAATACTTTACTAAAACACTCGCTTGCCTCTCTTTAGGTATTGTGCTGGATGCTGGTGATGGTGTCACCCACAACGTCCCAGTCTATGAGGGTTACGCCCTGCCCCACGCCATCATGCGTCTTGACCTGGCTGGTCGCGATCTTACCGACTACCTGATGAAGATCCTGACTGAGCGCGGCTACTCTTTCGTGACCACCGGTGAGCAACTCAGACAATAACAAAACACCTACAAGAAAGGAAAAAGGAAGAAATAAAAAGAAGCAAACCATTCCCATACAAGCTCAAAGAGACAGAAAGTCGAATCTAGATTATCATGGTTTAATTTATACTGTTTTGGAACAGTTTGCTATACATAACAACTTAACTTGACATAAACTTGATCAGCAATTTAAACAAAGATTCACCCACAGTGTTGCGCAAAGACAAAGATTAAAAACGTGTGTAGTTCAGATTGTGTGGACACCGATTGTGTTACTGCCTGTATATCCGAATGTGCTGCTAAAATTGGCACACTACTTTGAATTCTAAATAAGTATTAATGGAGAAAATCATATGTAGCTGTGATAGGGGAATTGATCATTTTCAGCTTCAGACTTTTCGGTAACTCTCGTAGTTCAGCTGTGATCTCAGCTGTTTGTCACTCTGGACAAAAACTCATCAACTTGTCTCCCTGCAGCTGAGCGTGAGATCGTGCGCGACATCAAGGAGAAACTTTGCTATGTGGCTCTGGACTTCGAGAACGAGATGGCCACCGCTGCTTCCTCCTCCTCTCTGGAGAAGAGCTACGAGCTTCCCGACGGTCAGGTCATCACCATCGGAAACGAGCGTTTCCGTTGCCCTGAGACCCTCTTCCAGCCTTCCTTCATTGGTATGTTAGATAATCCTTCTTTTACTCTTATTACGCACATCACTGGATATACTGTGCCAAACTATATCCACCCCTCCTCCTAACACTTCTCGCTCTCATCTGACTAGGTATGGAGTCTGCTGGTATTCATGAGACTGCCTACAACAGCATCATGAAGTGCGACATTGACATCCGTAAGGATCTGTACGCCAACAATGTGCTTTCCGGTGGTACCACCATGTACCCTGGTATTGCTGACCGTATGCAGAAGGAAATCACTGCCCTGGCCCCCAGCACCATGAAGATCAAGGTAAATATTATAACAACAAAAACATTATAATGAATCCCTAAACTTAATACTTTTACGCATAAATTGAGAGGAATCTATGAAACACCGGCACTTTACTGATGCACTTTCTCTCCCTCCCTCTTCTCTAGATCATTGCCCCTCCCGAGAGGAAGTACTCCGTCTGGATCGGTGGCTCCATCCTGGCTTCCCTGTCCACCTTCCAGCAGATGTGGATCTCCAAGCAGGAATACGACGAGGCAGGACCCAGCATTGTCCACAGGAAGTGCTTCTAAATCCTCAACCTTCGCAGCTTCTCCATCCTTTACACCTCAAGATATCTGGAGCAAAGGAGGATCAACCTCTGCGGCACTTCAACACTCTGCTGTCAATGGACTTGTTGTCTGCCATGTTGGCAATTATATGCATTGTTTTATTATTTTAAAATGTGCATATTTTGTAGCTGTTTGTTGTATGTGCTGCACGGAGAAAGGGGAAATCCAACCCTGAACCGTGCATCCACCCAAAGAAACCTTTAATAAAAAAATAAGAACAACATGTTGACCAACACATGTGAATGTAAGTGTATATACATATTAATAATTTATTAAAGTCCATTATTTGGTATTTTCGACCCTGGCCTTGTTTTTCTATAAGAGGGGAGAGTGGGAGAAGCTCAAAAACAAAAACTTTGAGGGAAACAAAAAAAAGGGAATACTGGAAAATAGTGGGAGAAGCTGAAAAACAGAAGCTTTGAGATAAACTTAAAAATAAATAATGGACGATTTAAATCATAAAGGTACCATTTGGGGGGAATTAATGCCTTCATACTAATGAAAATCATTTAAAGATTCAATATCAAGAAATATCAGCAAGAATTGGGGGGATTGGGAGAGTTAACCAAAATCACCAAAATAATTATACCCGGGCTTTATTGACTCAAGATAACGCTTATGACACCCACTACACCTTAAAGCAGCAGCTGATCCAGTTCGCTGATCAGCCACCAGGGGAAGTTCATAGAGGTCGACAGTGTGGCACAGCCCCCTGAATAATTGGAAGGGTGAGAGGGAGGGAGACAGGGTGTCTCTCTGTCTCCCATCAGACACTGCTGGCAGGGGGCTGCTGGGTGACAGAGGTAGTGAAAGTCGATACCTGAAAGCTCCGACAGTCGGAGTTTGACTTGCCAGGAATGTGCCTGGGCAGCAGCAGCTCCACTTTAGACCAGGCGGATCAGTGGGACATCCGACACCCGGCTCAGAGTCCCGTTGAGCTGCCTGCCCTGCACGACCATAGGCCTAGCCCCCAGACCATCTTTAGACAAAACTGGACCCTGTGCAGCCCTACCTTATATGCATAGAAGTTCATCAGGTTATCTGGGTGGGTGTGGACTTTAAGCACAATGGAGTGTGCTGGACGCGTCTCAGACACCAGCCCAGCCTATTATAAGACACCCTTCACGCTTCTTCCTTGACAGCATTTTAATTTCTTAGCCTCTCGACTACAGGTCAATGTTACCTATACCTAAACAAGACTTAGGCTACTTAGTACTTTTTGAAGCCATTTGTGTAAAGTAAATTGAACAAGTTACTCAATAATGCTCTTTATCAGAATCAGAATTCGGTTACTGCCAAGTGGTTGGCACTTTCAATGAATGTTGCTTTGGTGTATATGCAAACTGAAAAGTGAAAAATAAATGAAAAATTAAACAATAGGCTAGGTAGGCCAACATCAACAAACAGGTAGGCGAGTAGAAAATAAAACACTATAGGCCTACCATGTATTACATCAGTGCAGGTTTAAATATAATTTTGCCTTTTTAACCTCTTCTCTATCTGATAGAAATCATCACCAATCAAATCACTGAAAACCTCCCTCACCGACCTCATTCCTGTCACCCCGGCCCGGGCCACCTGTTGCGCGTGTGTTTGGCTTTTTAAAAACGTCCTCAAGCGGGCGGAGCTTAGAGACAGCCTGTTATTAGGCTATTACAGCAGCACCATGGACGCCATCTGTTCTGCTTTGCTTCCGTGAAATCCGACCTCAGTGTAAGTATATGTACTGTACACATTTAGACTATTACAGCCCTGCATTTCTGCTGTCAAGCCAGGCACTGTTATAGATGAGCGAGTCGATTAATTGTCAATGAGATTTGACGTGTTGGGCTATTATGTGCGAGCGCTGACGGGCGATTATCCTTGCTCCGTATTCACATATGATTAACAGACGCCTTTAAATAACAAGCATACATGTGTCTTGACTCTTCAGCAGCTATTATAGAACAACAAGCAATTCATTAATCATCTGTACGCTGTTACGGTGTTGATATGAAAGGCTACAGTCAAAGATGATGATCATTTTATACACGCATATTTTAAAACCTCCGGAAAGAAAATAAAACGTTTTCAAGCAATTGGGAAATAACGTGTTAGTGTTTGTATGGTTTGTATCCCAGTAAAGCCGGGGTTGTTTTCATGCAGTGATTATGAATGAACATTTAATTGGGATATTGTTTAGATCGCAGCAGCCAATCAGAAGACAAGTTGCTATCTACGTCATCGCGTTGAAGACGTTTCAACTGTAAAAGTTACTGACGATAAAATTCGAAATGCAGCCAATTTTAACAGTTAAACTTCAATATAGTATGCGAAAGACATTATATAACTTGTAATCTAATGAAGCCTGTACTTTTATTCATCCCAGCTTCTAAAAGAGGCAAATTAGCCCCGGGTAGAGGAGGAAGTAGGCGGGTTCAAGCCTCCAGCTGCTCTGCCATTGGTGCATACAGTGTCCGCATTATGGTTTAAATGTCTGGCGGTGATACTAACTGCGTATGAAAACAACGCAGCCAATTTTTACAAGGGCTTTGTTTACGATTCCAAAAAATGATATTGTAACACATTAAAAAATGTGTTACATATCTCATAAACGTTTCATGGGTGTTTCACGATGCTAGCTTTTTATATTTTTCCTTTCGTTGTGTAGCTTTGTCGTATTTGAGTTCAAGATGGTGACCAAGAGGATGCGCTCGGAGTACATGAAGAAATTCAAAGACCCCAAATGGGAGAGCTACAGCAGGTGTTACGAGGAGATGCTGCAGTACAGGCTGACCCGCAGGCTGCTGGAGCAAACTCACAAGCCCTGGTTCTGGAGCGGAGGCCCCGACAGTGACCCAGACTCCGGGGCAAGAAGTCCTGCTCCTCCCGGGAAGAACCAGGTCGGAGATGCTCCGGAGGCGGCGGAGCTGGAGGAGTGTGACGGGGCGAGGGTGGACAGACAGCCCGGGCAGCAGAGCAGAGTCCCGGGGACTGTGCCCAGGCTGCCCCTTCAAGAGGAGGATGAGTCTGCAGCACAACAAGGTAAACATCTGCTAAATGATCAGGGTATGGTCAGACTCAGACACTCAAATTCATATTAATAACATATTTTTTAGCAATGTAATACATTAGTGTAGGTGTCTCACAAAACATTTTTTATGCAAAACCAAATGCATTTAGCAGATTCAGCAGTAAACATCAGACGTAGGCCTACTTCCTGCCCTGAGAGGTGTAACTCACTCTGATAACCTTTTTTCTATATTCCTATAACTTAAAATGTGCCATATTTTAAAGAAAAAAAACATATTATCAGGTAATTCTTGAGAGTTTGCCTATATAGTTTCAATTCATTAAAATGTTTTACATTTGTTTTGTGCATTACATTGTAGTTATGTAATTCGATGAAACCAAAACATGCATATGTTTTAATGACTGTACAATCAAATGGATTGTGCATGTTACACAACTGTACTGGTGTTATTCTCTCCTCTCAGACTCACAGCCTGAAGGTGTCAGAGAGACAGGAGCACCAGAGGAGGAGAGAGAGCAGCAGACTCACAGGGAACAAAACAGAGGTAACTCAAAACAGAAAACCACTATCCATAGTCAGTTTGCATTCCTCAGTGCCTTGCACAAGTCCTGAGATGGATTCATAAGTGTTCACAACAACGTTATCTCTGCATTGCATATTTTCTTGCTGATGATGTTCCCCCAAGGAATTGAATGTATGAACATCTGAATTCAGTATTATCAGAGATATTTCTGTTGCTTTATCTTGTTTTTTCTTTTCTGTTTGAAACAGGGGTCACTGGAGGAGCTCGACAACAGCAGAGTAAACCCATCAAATCCTCAAAGCAACCATGGCGCTCCCATCGGGTCAGACCAGCACCAACCAAGCTGCCCAATGACGACAGTAAGGAGAGCAGACATCCCTTCGCTCTGTACGCTTCAGGGGAGAAGGATGCAGACATGGCGAACAGAAAAACACACAATGTTGGCCCTGCAGCTTCGACTACTGAGGTAATGTTTCTGACTGTCCTTCTGGGGTTTTACAAGTAAACAAGTAATATTGCAGGAACTGACAATTATGATGTTTTTATGTAGATCCATGAGTCGGCTCTGCGGGCCAAGACCAGGCGGAAGGTGGAGCGTCAGGTCCAGGCTCAGGGGACCGAGCACCGGAGAGCCAAGTCTGCCAATGTGGACAAGACCGTGAAGTCGGTTCAACCGGAATTCAACCCCTGGCTCACAGAGTACATGCGCTGCTTCTCTGCTCGCTCCCGATAAGACACACACACACACATACATATTCTCAGCAGAAATACTGACGTCAGGGTGGTTCTAGACAGACATACATAAATCAAGCCATTATTGCCTACCACCCCTGAAGTATAAATGCCCATGGATGTAGAGTAGAGCGCATCACATTCTGGATATAACTTCACTGTGTGGCTTATCACCCCAGATGTGTACAATCAAGTTTTTTGTATAATAGTCAGTTTTAATCTATACGATAAGAACCATTCATAGGGTATGAGAGACTTTTAATATTAGTTTGAGTCATGGTATTTACCATGTACAGATGTTTTGATTAGAAAGTCTTACATGCATTTGACATACTTTGGTGCACTCACTTTAAACACAGGCTATATAAAATGTGATTGTTATACAGGGTTATCAAACTACAGTGTTCTCACACAGGAGTAATGCAGGCGTGTGACAGCATGTATGCTAAGATTTAGCCACGTTTTTCTGAGAACGTGAGACCTCAAACATAAAGACAAAACCAAACACAAAGTCACAATGTTTGTATTTCAAAAGTGTACTAAGCACAGCAAGATGGCTTAATAACTGGAAGTGTTCTCAAATGTATGCATATTTGGATGTGGATAGGCATTTTGTATTTGTATTCACTCACACAAATATGTCCATTCAGGAGTTTTAGGAGATAGATCCCCTAGCGGTGTGAAATTGTTCTTGTAGATTTAATATTTGTTGTTACACTTCATGGATTGATCCTCCCTGACTTGGTTTAGATAAAGAGTAAATCACACTGTACTCAAAGTTTTGTGATGTGGCAGATTTTCTCACGAGCTTTTTAAATATCACAATGTTGTTGACGAACAATAGGTTGACAACAACATGTGCAGTTTTTTGCTGTTGAATTGATGTGAGTGTACAGTAGTGAATCTACATGGTGCTGTTGCAGCAAGAAAATAGATGTGACACTTAAAGCCATTGGAGGACTGATCAGTGTGTTTCTATGTGGTGCAATGTAATATAAAAATACACATAGCTAATGCAGGTCATTTGAAAACATAACAATCGAATTTTGAGACCAAATGTATTTTATCATTACTGTAACAGATTATTCTTTAAGACCAAAAGTTGAATATGTAAATATGTTTGTATGTTTGTTAACAAGAGCAAAACGTTATTTTTACTTGTACAAAAGTCATTTTGTGTAATTGATCTGATCCATTCAACAACAATCTGTGCCATAAAATCTTGAGAAAAGTATTTTCTCCTTTGAACAAATATAGTTTCAAATGTGGACATTTTGCTGCAAAAAGGGGGTTTTGTGCTTCAAATTTGAACCATTTACACATTTATCTTAATGTTTTGTTGTTGAAACTCTGAGTTCAGTATTACTTTATTTACTTTTGTAATGATATAGATGTTCAGTCTTTTAAGGTTTAACTGCAATGTAGTTCAGAGAAAAGATGTGAAGATGTGACATTTTGTGCAATACTATGATAAACCAGTTGTTTTTTACATGTGGTGAACTTTGACTGTCACAAACAGTGGAACTGGAACAAGATAGTTACTGATTTTCTCTCCAATAGTTAGTTACGGTAACTTTATAAGAAAGATCTTCTAAATACTTACTTAATAATTTACTGATGGCAGTATGTCAAAGTTCCAAAATACTGTAAAACGTAATGATCCCTAGATTTAAGGCTTTTAAAATACTGTGTATATGCTGTATTTGTTTTACAGGTAGACTTAATTATGTGGTGCAAAGCTTTAATAAATCACTTTTCCATACGAGTGTTCAGTGTTGTCTCGTTATCTCTACCATGTTACACTATTATTCAGAAAACATACTCCCTTTAAAGTAAGATATCAATAATGTAATGGAATATTCTCAAAAAATTGGTTCAAACCAACAAAAACTGCTTTTCAAGGACGATTCCTCATTTGTTGTATTTTTTATTTTAAAAACATGTTTTTATCATACACAATAAATAAAAAATCCATGATATTAACAATGACACAAGAAAAACAGAAAAAAAACAGAATTTTCCATAAATAAACAAAGGACCTAATGTGATAAACACAAGACGGCAACGTGACGTGGAAAATCCAAAGTCACAATCAGATGAACTCTAACATGAAATATTTCTACAGTTTGAAGTGATTGATTTAAAAAATGAAATGTATAATTGTCAAGGGGCAAAAATGTAAAAAAATACAAAGAAAAAAACAACAAATGTTGTAATGCTTGAACAGACCAATGCAAAACACACCTTTTTAAATCTAGATCTTCAAATTAAGACTTTTGTTGAGTTTAATGTGGCTGAACTTAAAATTAAGAATCTTTGGAGACAAATACAAATCAAACACACATCAGGCAGTTTTATACCATTGCTAAAACTTGAAATGCATTCAGTTAGTATTTCCTAACAGCTGGCAGCAGTAAGAGAAGTATTTATTTAAACAGGCATCATTTTTAAAAGAGAGAGATCAGTCATTATTTCAAACCTTTGGGTGAAGGAGTGTGTAACACCTCTGAGTGTGCCAGAGTAAATTCAAAAGATGACATGTAAAAATTACATACATCTGCCATAAAAGCCAAATGTATGATCATAATTTTTTTTCTTTATGTGTGAGCTTGAACGATAATAAAACTGTTAGTACTTAACATAACTCACATGAGCTTGTCCCATTCACAAATAAACATATTCTCCAAACAGTACTGCCCAGCTATACTGCTTACTAGTTGCCAGTATGTAGCTTTACATGATAATAAGACAGTGGAGCATTAAACAGATGCTAGATATGATATCTACTTTAATATACATATAATATCTCTTCATAATCAAATACTCTGATATTCTGTTGGAGAAAACATGCGTCAGTCTCTATATACAGAAACACTGTACAGTGTACAAGATGCAGTCGGGGGGTCGGGAAGAGGTGTGAGGAGGTATCAGAGAGACAGATGGGGTGTAAACAGTGGGTAAGGTAGGCAGGGGGATGAAGTGTCATTCAGCAGCTGCATCGCCCGGGGAACTGTACAGGAGAGAGAGTGTGTAGGAGGAACACAGGGAGTGCAAAATGTACAGGCAGAAACAGTACACTGTTAGTGGAGTGTTTAAAAAGTGTGAGCAGGAAGGCAATCAGAGCAGCTGGGTGGAGGGAGAGAAATTAGGTAGGGAAGGATTTTAAATATATATATATATATATATAGAAATACACAGTGCTATATACCATGTATGTATGTGTATATATATATACATGGTTAAAGGAATAGTTTACAATAGTTTTCTTGGCAACAGTTAGATGATAAAATCCATAACTCATGTCCATGCATCAAATATCAATCTGAAGCTGAGCAATGTACATGGTATTTATTGTTTGTTTAACTTGAATGCACAAAGAAAGGAACTTCCCTTAAAAAGGAGCAGTGTGTAGGATTTAGTGCGATATTGTGGTGAGAAATGTTCACCTCTACTCCTCCCCATTTTTACTAGTATGTAAAAGAGACTACAGAGGCCTTCAGGTGCATACTCGCAACACAATTTAAGTTGCCACTTTCAAGTAAAACACCTCCTTAGAGCCAATGTTGGGTTTGTCGGATCTGTGCCACTGTAAAACACGGATGTATTATGAGAAGTAGTAACATCTTTTGAGGCAGGGTCCTACTGATTCATATAAAAGTGGTTCAGTGGCGCATGATAAAGGTTATACGAATTGGTATAAAATAACTCTTCTGTATGAACACTGAACAGCAGCACGGAAATAACCCTGGATTTGGCCATCAGTGATTTTTTTTACAAGTTTTAAGACATAGGGGCTGTTTAAGTGTTTGTACTGGAAAGTTGTTTCACCTAAAAAATAATATGATATTCCTTGTATGCCATTAATCCCCTTAAATCCTACACACTGTCCTCAATCGTGTTATATCTTGTTTGTTAAACTCTAATGCTAAAAAAAATAAACTTCCCAAAATGTAAACTTCCCCTGAAGTACTCCAGATTGAATGTCGATGGGATTGGTGTTAAGGGAGAAAACTTCAACTTAGATTTGGAGGTAAGCAGGTGTGAGGGCAGATTGAAAGATAGTCAGTAATTCACGTCCTGATTGGAGAGTTGGGAAAAGATTGGTCCAATAGTAGAGCAGTATGTTGGATGGGGGGCGGTCTCTTGTTACCACTGAGGGGGATGTGGCTGGGAGGTGCAGCCATGACAACAAAACAAAAGGTCAAAGGTCAGAGATGAATCACCAGCATAACAACCTGAACCCTGGGTCCCCTGTGGCTGTTCTTCTCCTGGTCTTCAAAAGCCCGTCTGAAACACACTGATCACACACACAAGAGACATTATCACATAGGTGTAAGCAGAAGGCGAGGAGTGGCTGTGTGCAGCAGAAACACACAGCGCTGAGAGCTGAATGTCAAGTCACCACAACCAGCTAATAAGCTCTGGATAAATATCATAAATCTGAAAGAAAATACCTAATTTCATGCACACACAGTACAGACACACTGGCCTTTTCTGAGTGTGTTACTGGGCGCGTCCACTAGCAGCCACACTCCTGGGTGCCCTGAGGCTGAGCGCGACGAGGAGAACGAAGCTGTCGTAACGCAGCGTCGCCGTACTGGATTCCTGACCCCATCCTCTCTGGATCCAGCTCCCCTGGAAATGAGAGACAGGAAGAGACAGAGATGTGAGAAAAGTGTTCCTCATGTAAGGATCTTCACCAACTCTAGAAGATGGTATTTTTCTTAAATACTTATTTTTGAGTAATTAAGTGAAGTTGTTTAGGGCTATAACTCTGCTTCAGTTCAGGGTCTGGAGTGATAATACCTAAATCCGCCTTGTTGATCGTGTCGGGATAAGAGGGGATTTAGAGTCTGGGGTTTGGGCTAAAGATGAGGATCTCAGTTCCTACCTGACTCTATCTTGTTAAGGATTTTCCGAGCGCACTGGACAAAGGCCTCTTCGACGTTTTCCCCTGTTAGAGCGCTGGTCTCCAGAAACATCAGCTCTGACACACACACACAATACAATCACTTTGAGCAGCATCATCTTTACAGAACAGAAGCAAACTGTAACAATTTCAGAGATACTAGTTCCCTGGCTATTATTAGAGTTTGTGATAGGATCTGTCAAAGCATGCCCCTTTGATCACAGAGTTCTGAGCCTACCGTTCTCCTGAGCGAAGCGTGAAGCCTCCAGGAACGTGACCTCTCTGTCTGCATCCAGGTCCTTCTTGTTTCCACAGAGGATGATGACGATATTCTGACTGGCCAGCATCCTGGCATCGCTCAGCCACGTGGTCAGGGCGTTGTACGTCTCTCGACTGCAGTTTAAAGAGAAAGAAGGGAGACATTTAAAAAAGAAAAAGGGTACTTTACACAAAGGCAATCTGAAAAGGTGTCCAAGGATTTTACCTGGTGATATCATAGACTAGCAGAGCTCCTGCTGCTCCTCTGTAGTAACTCCTGGTCACGGACCTGACCCGCACAAACCAAAAAACAATAAACAAACAAACACACAAATAAATTCATAGTCTACATCAGCAGGTGGTCAGATGATACGGTATATGATAGGGCCTCAGGGGACCCAGTGATTCCTACACTTTTTTTTAATCTTTATCCTCTTTTATGTCACTCCCCTTTTCAAGCATAACATTTTAGCTTAACATTAAAAGCAAAGGTGAAACTAAGACATAAGAGACCGTTGTCTTACGTTGTTGAATACATGTCAATGTTTACACATGTTCCTCTCAACTTTTTTACTGAAACATTTATCTCTGTGACCTCTGTCTTTCAACAGTGATCAAGTAAATATCAGTAGGAGTGGAATAGGAATGACATGCACAGGGTACAAAATGAGATAGAGGGTGGGTGAGAGAAATGAATATGCCTTTGAACGTGGAAAGTTATATTAGGATGTTTCCATACCTGAACCTTTCTTGTCCTGCAGTGTCCCAAATCTGCAGTTTGACCATTTTGTTGACCACACTAATAATCTTAGAGCCAAACTCGACTCCAATTGTGTGGTTGGATTCATCCTTAACTGGAAAACACAATAAAACAAGGTTTATTTTTAGATAACTGGTGCCCTGGAAGAGACAATGAATACCATTATGTGTACCTAACACATAACCTACATGACCTACATTTCATGTGTATATGTGTTGGTTACTCAACACTACAGTACTGTAAACTGGAGGTCAGAGCAACTGTCTGTTAACAGTAGATAATGAACAGTGTGTTGTTGCATCTTCCTGACTTACATCTCTTCTCTATGAACTGGTGCAGCAGACAGGACTTGCCGGTTCCAGCATTCCCAATCACCAGGAATTTAAACAGGAAATCTGAAGAGAGAAAACACAGAAATATTGGTGTTAACATTCAACCCAAGATAACATTCGTCCCTTAAGACACAGCGATCATGATTTCCATAACTAGATCTTGAGATGTGCCAATATTATTTGACAGTAGCTAAACACAGTTATGTATTAATCAATTGCAGTAAGGACATGTGAAAGATATGTTTGTGACAATGTAGAAACAATGTCACTATTATATAGTTTGTAGAGAGACCAGTTATTTGTAGTTGTAAAATACTATGCTCAATACCATTATTTTATAACCACATTTAATTCTGGGTGATAATAAAATTACTACTATTTGATTTTCTAACTCTGAAGTAAAAAACACTAATGCCCTTTTAAATTCCATAGAATACACAGAAACCGAATACAGCACAGTGGCATTCAGCTTCAAAATGCACAATTATAATCAGCTATGCTTTACACACTTAAAAGCTCTCATAAATAAGGATGCTTCAACATCCTGATCATCCTTATATCAGATGGTGATTAAATGGTTATAACATGTATTCCTACACCCCCTTGTATTATGTGTTTTGAGCAGGACACACAGCTCAGGCAGATCTTCATCCTCAGCCCTGTCTCCTGGTGTCAGCTTCCTGTCCATTCCGCTAACTTCTATTGGGATTTTCAACCTTACAAACCCGATCATTTTGTCCGCACAGGCAGAGTAAAAACTACTGTGTAACCTCTGAGGTATTATTTGCGCTGACAGGACGTTTTAAGGCCAGTAGCCCTCGGTTAGCCTGTCAGCTATCTGTTTACGATGAGAAAAAATCTCTCGGCACACCTGCCTCATCCCCTCTCTGTGAGATGTTAACACAGTGGCCACTAGTAAACACTGCATCCTTACCGTATGACTCCGACATCGCCAGTGTGGCGTTTTGACCGCAACACGAAGGAAAAGAGAGATAGTAGTTGACAGATGGATAGCTAGCTAAGTAAAGGAAAATAGTCCTGTGGATGATTTCCGCGGATTCCAGCCGATTCCCCTCCGACTTCCCGTAAGCGTTTTCTTTCTTCAAAATAAAAGCCGGGCAGAGCTTTGTGATGACTTCAGACCGCCGCAGGGTGCTGCTGTTTAACCAATAGTGTTTTGATGCTTTTGACACAGCCTTATTCAAAACAAGTTTTCGAAAGTATAAACATATTCTAAAATAATTATTCAATTGCCAAATAATTATATCTTTATCATATATTTCGTGTATCATTTGAGTACCACTAACAACTAAGACGTGCCTGAGGAGATCAGGGCTGCACAATCTGTCAGATTTTTTAACTTTTCAAAGTTCAAGGCTTTTATTGGTCATACGTGAATAGCTACAGTGTAGTTATGATGACGATGAAAATCTTAGTTCACAGGCTCCTCCAACAGTGCAACACAATAACACAGATACACAGAACAAAATAGTGCAAGTAAATAGTAAATACAAAAGGAAAAATTGTGAAATAGTGAAATAGTGCAAGTGATTGGAATCATATATTAGATAAATAATTCCTAAGTAGCAGCCAGATTAATGTTATGATGTTGTTTCAAGTTCAGGTGTTTAATAGTCTTATTGACTGTGGGATGAAACTGTCCCGGTGTTAGTCCGGATGCTGCGCGGTACCGCCTGCCAGACGGCAGCAGACAGAACTAATTTTGTTTTACTTTTAGTAACAAATGCTTTGTGTGATTTTTATTTCATTTTTCATAGATTATTTTCCATCTGTTTTACGTGTGTTTTATGTTTAGATGCTGTTGTTTAGCTCACTTGCTCTATGTGTAATTTAACAGGTGTTCTGTTTTATGTGAAAGCACTTTGTAAACTATGTTTTAATTGATGCTATATAAATAGTTACAAGTATAGTTTAAAATGTATTATTATGTATTATTATTATTATTGTATTATTATGCTTACATTATTATTATTATTATAATAATCAATAATAATGATTTATCCCCCTACACTCCAGGCCAGAAGGCGGCGGACAGGTACCTTAGAGTTTGCCCACCGCCACAAACCTTCAAAAGGAAACGAAGAAGAAGAATAAGTGGCTAATGAGCTAGCCTAGCTGCAGGCTTTATTTAGGGAAATATGGCTGCTGTGCTCCCCGTGAGACTGCCCTGCGACAGCAACCCCGCTACCCCTGGAGCACAATCCATGAAGGTGACGTTTATTCCCGCATATAGTAACAACTATACTTCTCTTCACGGAGCTCTGCACGGTTGCTTGCTCAGCTAACGGCTAGTTGGCTAACTAACGGCTACCTGCGTCCATGAATGACAAACTGATGGCGACGTTAGCATCACCCCTTTGTTTTCAACTGTGTGCTGAATGTTAGGGGTGGTTTGTTTTCTCTGTTTCGTATCTAATGACATTTGTTTACATGATTTATGTCCCCATAAGAAACGACAAATTGTGTTTTTACGAGTGCTTTCACAGCGAAAACGTTTAGCTGTGCCTTTGCTTGCAGTGGTGTAAAGTAACTAAGTACATTTACTCAAAATACTTTACTTAGGTACAGTATTGAGATACTTGTACTTTACTTGTTTACATTTTGTTCTACTTTGTACTTCTACCCCATTACAATTCAGAGGTTAAAAGTGTACTTTATACCTTTAGTTAGTTTAGTTAGAGATTTTGATTAATGACATTTAATCAACACTTATATAACATTTTAGTTACACCTGGATTACATCTCACAACCTACCCTGCAGCATACAACGGAATTAAAATGAGCTACACCTTTACCAGCTGTGATCATGGCTGTGATGGACACAGATAAAAACAGTTTGTAAATGCAGGAATGTTCGGTGGAGTTGACCAACATTACATTACAGTTTATTATTAATAAAATATGTTTACATTTTCCTCTGTAGGAGGATGTCATTGAAGAGGAGTCAAATGATGGCAGCCAGGTACCGAAGAGAAGGAGGATTGGTTCGGGTGACAGCTCTCGAAGCTGCGACACCTCCAGTCAAGACCTGGGGTAGGTTTGCCTGATACTTTGCAGTGTAACATTAGTTGGTATTTGTAAAATACATTTGTGGCATTGTAATTTACAAGTTTTATACCAATAAGATATAGATGTATTCTTTGGAAACCATTATCCCGTGAATCTCAGTGTATTTCACAATACTATTACGATTGATTTGATTCAATTCAGAGGCCTGCCATGATGATATTATATCAACTCACAAAAAGCATTCAATAAAGCTTCAATCCTCTACTTTTCTTGCCCCTTGTATTCCTGTTTCAGGCCGACATATTTCCCAGCAGAGAACCTGACAGAGTACAAGTGGCCATCAGATGATGCAGGAGAGTATTACATGCTGCAGGAGCAGGTCAGCGAGTATCTGGGAGTCACATCCTTCAAGAGGAAGTACCCTGGTAAGACTGAAGCAAACATCTGATACGTGATACTCTTTTCTTTAAAAGTAATAACATTGATTCTATATTTTAAACTTATTGATTTGCTATTTTTTATTTCAAAGTAATATAAATGTAATAATGGAATGACGATAGAAGTAAAAGGCATCGAGAACGAGCACACTGCCTTCACTAGTAGTAGCTATGCATATTTATTTATTTAGCCTAATTTAATGACTCTTCTGTACTCATGTTCTGATCTGATGGATAGTAAGCTATTAATTGACCAGTTGTGTTGTTTCTATTTTTCGCTCTGTAGATATGGAGAGAAGAGACTTGACCCACAAAGAGAAGCTTTATCTGCGGGAACAGAACGTCATCACTGAGACACAGTGCACTCTGGGTAGGAACCTCCTCTTTCTCTTCATCATTTCTACAATTTTCTCCAACAGATAAAAGTGTAACTTTCGTTTGTTTCCAGGTCTGACAGCTCTGCGGAGTGACGAGGTGATAGATCTGATGATAAAGGAGTATCCCACCAAACACGCTGAGTATTCAGTCATACTGCAGGAGAGGGAGCGGCAGAGAATAGCTAAAGAGTACTCTGTAAGTTTATAAACTAAAATAAGTAACCCAGGGCTCATCATTACTGTGACATTTATTTAGAAAGTAATGCGTTTAAAAAAAGTCCTTCATGTAAATGTCTCTTACAGTCTTTGTCTGTTTTATTTCTAGCAAATGCAGACACAGAATCCTCAGAAGGTGGAGGCCAGCAAGGTTCCTGAATACATTAAGAAGGCAGCTAAGAAAGCTGCGGAGTTCAACAGTAACTTCAACAGGGAGCGTATGGAAGAGAGGAGAGCCTACTTTGACCTCCAGACACATGTAAGTCCAACCACAGAAGACGGATACATGTTTTGAAGTTTTTTTTCTTTTTAATAAACTTTATTTTCCTTTTTCTTAAACAACACATACAGTTTCAGTGACAAAAGAAAAAGTGCAGGTTGTCCATTTTTTTTTTTTTAACCCCCCCCCCTACAGAATAAGACAAGATTAATAGTACAAAAACATTTTTAAAATAATAAACAAAGCACAGCACACAAAAAAACATGACAAGGTCGAGATACATGTTAATAATGGTTGACTATAGAAAATCTGTTCTAATAAAAAAAAAAAAATAGATATAAATCAGTTAGGGTAGAGTAGGCAGTTTCAAACTTTCCATGTATGTTAAAAATGGTTGCCATGTCCTATAGAATTTACAAGTGGAGCCACCCAAAGTACACTTTATTTTCTCCATGTGTAGAAACATCATAAGTTCTGTCACCCAATGGACATGAGTGGGAGACGCAAGTATAAGTCGCCTCGCAATTAGGGAAGCAAAAGCAACAGCGTTTGAATAATGTCTGGAAAGGACAATGTCGTCCGGGACGACTCCAAACATTGCAGTAAGAGGAGAAGGGGTACATTTTACTTTAAAGATCTTAGAAAACGTATCAAATATAGATGTCCAATAATTATGAAGATTTGGACATGTCCAGAAAGTATGGATGAGGGACCCTGTTACTGACTTACATCTGTTGCATAAGGGATCTACCCCTGGATACATCTTTGCTAGCTTTTCCTTTGATAAATGAAGGCGAATGAAGACAAATTGAGGAAGAGTGAACTCTTTGAAGGATGGATTGCCAATTATCATCTGTTATTATCAAATGCTAGATCATCTTTTTTGAAGTTTTTTTGTAGAGGGTTTTAGAAAATAGTTTTGTGTCATTTTTTACATACATTGTTTTTTTGTGTGGGTTTTCACAGATCATCCAGGTGCCCCAGGGCAGGTTCAAGGTGCTGGCTCCAGAAATGACCAAGGCGGGCCCTTATCCCGTGGCTCTCATACCAGGACAGTTCCAAGAATACTACAAAAGGTACACACTTGATGCTTTATAATTGACCTCTTTTGTATTCAAGATAACCCACATGTTACCTTTCTAAGTGGAACTATGTTCTAGTTAGTTTGTCAGCCTGTATTATTTATTGCTGTTGTTAATGTTGGCTCAGTCAGTAGGGGCTTGGACTGGGAGCTGTAGGGTCGCCGGTTCAAGTCCCCGACCAGATCTAAAAAATTGAGTGTGGACTGCTACTTGGAGAAGTCCCAATTCACCTCCTGCTCTGCGTGGGTTTCATCCCTCCGATTCTATTCTATTCTATGATGCATCATTGTGTTTTCCACCACAGGTACTCTCCCAATGAGCTGCGATACCTGCCGATGAACACAGCTCTGTTTGAGCCTCCACTGGACCCAGAGCTCCCTGCACTGGACTCAGAACCAGACTCAGACGATGCAGAGGATGGCAAGGACAAAAAGAAAAAGAACTTATCTGTAAGACATGAGGGTGTACAACAAATCATATGCCCATCCTGGATTAGTGGTAGAGATGCTTAGCCTTAACCTTTATTCAAAACCACACATTGAAATCATAAACTCATGCATTCTATTGAAACTAAGAGTGGCACTATGTAATACAAACTGGCCATCTAAAGGGTTAAAATTAAGAAAATGAATATTTGGTAGTTATGATTAAGTGAAAAATCACATGAATTAATAGTATGGAAGATTTTCAGACAAAGACGTTTTTGCCATTAGAACA